GCCAGGAAGAGACCATGAGTATCAAAATGTGAAGCTAAAATTAATTAACAAAAACCCAAAATTAGTAAGTGATCCATTTCGATTTAGTGCCATCTTCCATTATTTTCCAAAATCAGTTTGAGGCTCTGGGGTGATCACCTCAGATGAAGAAGTGATTGATTCTGGGACTCTCAGAAAAGGGGTCCTCTCCACAGACTTGGAAAAGTAATCAAGAACTTAAAGCAGGCAAGTGATGTCATTAGGCGGTGATGTCATTCAGTATTTACCTTCCAAGTTCTGGACAGTGATAACTCTGCCAACCTTGAGAATGAGGACAGAAAAAAAGAATCAAAATGAATGTCCTGTGAAAACAAAATTATTCAACTCTGGCAACAGACCGAGGTTTGCCAGAGGAGGAGACTGGGAGTGGAGGTGGAGACACGGAGGGACCAAGAGGAAGGGATCTAGGGACAGTGGCTGGCACTGGGATGCTGGCACTGTGGGGAGTGTGATACAGTAATGCTGTGTGCCTGAAGTATAGCCATTAACATATGGTGTTAATGCCTGTCACTGTCACTGTCCTCCCATTGTTCATCCATTTGCCCAAGCGGGCCTAGTAACACTGTGAGACTTGTAACTGTGTTTGGCATATTGAATACGTCACAGAGAGGCTTTGCCAGGCTTTGCTGTGCGGGCAAGATACTCTCGGTAGCTTGCCGGGCTCTCCGAGAGGGGCGGAGGAATCGAACTCGGGTCGGCCCTGTTGGCCGCATGCAAGGCAAACGCCCTACCCGCTGTGCTATCGCTCCAGCCCCAATGCCTATGTAATTAAAAATAAAAAGGCTGAAGGAAGACCGCTAGCTAGAGCAGGCAGTTGTGAAGGGGTATTCATTGCGTTTCAACAAACAATTTAACATAAAGTTTCAACTAAACTCTATCAAAGTAAGACTACCAAGTGTGGGGAGAGGAATGATGAGGTGACAAAGAGCAGAAGGACACTGGTGGAGGGTCTGGGACACTTTGTTAGTGGTGTGTTAACAGTATACATCAGTACGATGAATGCCAACACCATTGTAGCCATATTCTCAAATTTACAATAATTATAAAAACAATTAGAGAAAATATGAAGAAATAAATTTGCTCATTGGAAAGCTATTTCAGGTGGCAAAAGACTACTCTTGGCTATGCCCAACACTGACACAACTGTAAAAAGGATCCAAAGAACATTTTTGGGTGACCTCCACAAAGAATACTTGTGGAGCTAAGAAGATATTTTTGAAAACTGCTACAAAACAAAGATTTGCCATTGAAGAGAGAAGAGACTGTTAAAGAAAACAAGAAGTAATCCAGAAAACGTTTCACATCTTTGAAGAAAAATCCACCAAACTGGAGCTTAATATACCTCATTTGTGTATAAGGATACATGAGCACTTTTTTAAAATAAATAAATATTGGTGAACAGGTTATCGGGCTGGAGCGATAGCACAGCGGTAGGGCATTTGCCTTGCATGCAGCCAATATGGCCAACCCGAGTTCGATTCCTCCGCCCCTCTCGGAGAGCCCGGCAAGCTACCGAGAGTACCTTGCCCTCACGGCAAAGCCTGGAAAGCTCTCCGTGACGTATGTGATATGCCAAACACAGTTACAAGTCATCTCACAGTGTTACTGGGCCCATTTGGGCAAATCGATGAACAACGGGAGGACAGTGACAGTGACATAGGCATTAACACCATGTGTTAATGGTCATACTTCAGGCACACAGCTACCGAGAGTATCTCGCCCGCACGGCAAAGTCTGGCAAGCTCTCCGTGACGTATTCGATATGCCAAACACAGTAACAAGTGTCAATGGAGACGTTACTGGGCCCACTCGAGCAAATCGATGAACAATGGGAGGACTGTGACCGTGACCATGACCGTGAACAGGTTATCAGGGCTTCAGTTATATCAGTGATATGAGGAAGGGTACAGCCATATATCCAAAACATAGACTCAACAGAACTGAAACCATTTAAGCAGCAACCACTGAAACTTTTGTTTTTTTTTTCTTTTTAGGTCACACCCAGGGATGCTTAGGGGTTACTCCTGGCTCTGCACTCAGAATTACTCCTGGTGGTGCTTGGGGGACCATATGGGATGCCGGGGATTGAACCTGGGTTGACCGCGTGCAAGACAAACACCCTACCGGCTATACTACTGCTCTGGTCCCACCACTGAAACTTTGTAATGTGCCTGTCAAGTTGAAAGGGCAGGGGGTTGTGGGGGTCAGTGTAGGGAGGGAATCTGGGAACACTGGTGGAGCGAAGTTGACACCGGTGCAGGGACGGGTGTTGAATTATTGTATGCCTATAATGCAACTATCAGTAATTTTGTAAATCGTGGCTCTTTAATAAAAATTTAAAAAATAAGCACTGTAGCACTGTCCTCCCGTTGTTCATCGATTTGCTGGAGCGGGCACCAGTAACGTCTCACATCAAATTGTGAGACTTGTTGTTACTGTTTTTGGCATATTAAATACATCACGGGGAGCTTACCAGGCTTTGCCGTGCAGTTAAGATATGCTCAGTAGCTTGCCGGGCTCTCCAAGAGGGGCGGAGGAACCGAACCCTGGTCGGCTTGTGCAAGGCAAACGCCCTACCTGCTGTGCTATCACTCCAGCCCAAGAATAAGCAAATAGATATTTTAATAAATAGAATTCCAGTTAAAACATTATCTACGATTTAAAAAGAAGCTGAATGGGAACAAGCGCACTGCTGGCAGGAGTGGGTATCAGTAAAGAAAATTTCAAGTTAAAGAAGATACTGAGCTTGAAGGGGCTGCAGGTTTGGTTGCAGTACCTAGCAGTGTTGGTAGATGGCAGTGAGGAGACAGGTCCTCCCCACCCTCAGCTAGGCTGCAGTACCCATGTGTGTCGGTAGGCGACAGAGGGGAGACAGGCTCCCCCAGTGAGGATTATCGTCTCCCGATCTGCGGGAAAGTGTTTTTGACAGCATCTAGTAAAAGGAAAACATTTTCCCTAGAGGAGAAACTTTTCCTTGAGTGCTTTTGACAGCTCTAGTGTGTGGCCCGTTGGCCAGCTCCCGGGACTATGTTTTGAAGAGTTGGGATGTGAGGATCATCACAGTGCATCACAGTCTGGGCTGGAAAGCAAGAGAGAAGGGGACAGGCAAACAGATCACCCTTGAGATGTCGGCAGGGCCTGCCTGAAGGCCAGGAACCCCAGGCCTCCGCGTGTGCCTCAGGGTGCCCTGACACATTCCTTTCAGGTTTGCTCGCTCCCTTTCTTCAGGGCATTGCTCAGACTTCATCTTGTCCACGGGCCGTGGGACCAGCCTGCCCCGGGCTGTGTCCCTGACCCTGCGTTCCCGTTCCCCCCACCCCTTCCTCCTGACCTGTGTGTGTTTCCTGTCTGGCCTGCCCTCTCAGCAAGAGAACTACGGAAGAGCAGACTCGCCAACGTGCCCACGTGCGGGGGACAGTAATGGTCCTCCTCAGGCACTTCAGACATCTCTTCTTGTTTTGGGTCACACACAGCGCTGCTCAGGGCTTCCACCTGGCTCAGTGCTCAGGAATGACTCCTGGCAGTGCTCGGGACCCCCTGTGGGGGGCTGGGGATGACAGGCTGGCACCTGTAAGGGACCACTTTACACGCTGCATATCGCTCTGGCCCTATACTAGTTGTTAACTGACTCTGTATTTCCACATTATAGTGGGTTTTTTCCCTGCTCTCCCTTGATCCTATATTTTCAAAAGACAGATTAGAATGTCATTTTAAAAATGCAGTATTGGAGTGCTTGTAAATCGTATGTCCAACATTGTCTCAATTCCCAGCATCACACTATGGCAGCCAAGCAGAGCCAAGGACAGCTGCCAGCTGCCCCCCACCCTGACACACCAACAGTTCCAGGGCAGAGGGGATGACTCCATGGCCAGAGTGCTTGGCTGGCATAGGTGAGGTTAACTTCAATCCACGACATCTGAATGCAGACCTTGGTCCTGTAGTTCTGGGTCATCCGTACTCACAAGTCCCCTATTGCTGGTCCACCCCCCCCCACCCCCGCTTTCTGGGTCACACCCCGCGACACACAGGAATTACTCCTGGCTCTGCACTCAGGAATGACTCCTGGCAGTGCTCGGGGGACCATAGGGGATGCTGGGAATCAAACCCGGATCGAGCCCTCCACTGTATTCTTATTCCAGCATCACCCCCCCAACAAAAAAGAATTTTGTCCCAAAACCAAAAAAATAAATTTAAAAATTACACTTCAATAGCATGAGTAGTTTCTAAGTAGAAACAAAAAGTATGTTTCTTTCTAATGTAAAGACTGTCATGCATTTTTGGATATTGTTACAAAAGACTTCCCAAACAGTAAACCAGGACACTCTAGTGAATACCCTGTGTGCTTCACAGGGTATTCTAAATTTTTGAGAAAAACACATCTAATGGACACAAGACAATTTGAGGCAGTTTACATTTGTAGGATTAGATAGCACTGTGTCCTTTCCATGACAGCATCTTTGCAAAATAGAGACTTTCAACACTTGCAAAATGGTAGAACACAGTAGTAGAACAGGAAATGACACAGATGTTCAGACTAATTCCAGATCTGAGAAGCAATGCATGTCGGATTACTAAGGTTATGACAAACTGCTGATACGGTGTTCGGACTGAAATGCCTAATAAATGGAAGCTCTGTGTATTTCTTTGGGTGCAGGTATGGAGTGAATGGGCAGAGTGATAGCACAGTGTTAAGCTGCTTGCCTTGCACGCAGCCGACCAGGGCCAACCTCGGTTCAACTCCTTCGCCCCTCTCAGAGAGCCTGGCAAGCTACCGAGCATTGCACCCGAATGGCAAAGCCTGGCAAGCTACCTGTGATGTACTCGATATGCCAAACAGATGTTACTGGGCCCACTAGAGCAAATCGATGAACAAGAGGACAGTGCTACGGTGTGAACAAAGTTACTAAAGGGTGTAACAAACTGAGCAAGTATGGAAACGTCTTTGGTAGAGAAAAGAAATACACCACAACAGAAGTTATTTCACTGTTACATTTGCTAAGTAAAAAAAAAAAATTTTTTAAATAGTCACATATGGGGGAAAAAACAGAGAAACTTACATACAAAGTTTGGATATTTATTGAAATCTTGTGTTAGGTATCAAACAAAATCGGCTTTCTTCAGATAAAAATATTCTCTCAGATGTCTCCAGGTAATTGCTAAGTCTAAATTGGTCCTTCAAGGTCTTATTTTATTGTCCTCCTGAACCATTCGTTGGTCTCGGCCAAGACGTGCTCGAGTCCTCTCATCTCATCGCGTGAAGGAGCGCACGTGCCGGCCTCGGCCGCTGCCGCCGCTGACGAACTTTCCCCGGGAGCCGCCGCTGCCGCTGTTTGCACTTGCCCACGAAGGTCCGAGTCCCCCTCGGCCCCTGGACGCTCGGTCGCGAGGGCTCGGGCGGTAGCCTGCAAGAGAGGGAATCGTTTTCAGTCCCAGCCTCATTTCCTGTCCGTGTCTCTAAGCACTGACACTGCGGCCGAGCGGGCGCAGGCCATGCCCACGGCCCACCCAGCTTCGGTGCCCGGCGCCGCTCATGGTCATACAACCTGCAGGGAGCGATCCCGGAAAGCAGAGCCTAAGTCCTGGGCACTGCCAGGTGTGGCCCCCAACCAAAAAAGAAATAAAATCCATATGCAATTCCCGCGAGTGTGGAAGGTCACGGAGGCGCCTGGTCGGGCGCAGCGCAGCCCTGGCTGGGGCTGGGGCTCCCGCACCAGAGCGCTCACGTCCGCATGCGGGCCCAAGCCCCTGCTGCAGGATCCTCCATCACTGCCGGGGAGCGGGGTTCGGGGTGGAGGCCCAAAGAACCAAAACAAAACTGTGGTCGAAGACACCTTAAAGATGCACTGCATCACTGAAGTACAAAGTATATCACCATGAGACTGCTTAAGTTATAAACAACACTCAGACTCAAAAACTTTGGTATCTCTGAAAAAAGATGGATGTTGGGCACTCATGATATTACATGAAATTAAATTCCGAATTATAAATGCGTCTTCCAAAGAACTCGCTCCCAGGCTGAGAGTCTTCAAGAGCGGGCAGTCTGGATGGAAGATCTGCCTCTCCTCCTTGGCCGGTCTCACAGGACGCGTACCTGTAGAACTGAGCGGTCGCAATGGTGGGAGAGGGCCCCTGTTAAAATTGCTCTGGCCTCCACGACTTTCGCTGTAAGTTCCTCGAGGAGTATTCTGAGCACTCCAACTGGAGCCTCGAGTTCCTTCCCGACGACTGTAATTCCCTAAACACAGACAACACAATCAAATTCTATTTTCCTCCATAGTTTCAACTGGATTAATATTCAAAAGTACTGAGAGATGCTATCAAATTCTGTAAATAAAGTCCTACTACAGCGTCAGTTTGGTAGCAGTATCCTGTGTCAGGAACTGAGTGCTGCCAGGATTCAAGAACTGCGTTTGTCACTTATGTCCTGATCAGCTGACAGGCAGTCTTTCCTTCTGAGAAGAGAGGAAGACAAGACCTACCACCTATGGGGATGAGAGAGACTCATATGGAAAGTGATCGGAACAATTCCTTCACACACCTACATACTTACCACTCATCTAAGCTTCTATTCTCTTTTATTACCATCCCAGCTTAGCAGCAACATTGAAATCGTGGCATCAATTCACTAGCTAAGGAAGATTTCTCTCTCCCTCCCTTTTAAAAAATGTGAGAAGTGTTGGATCTTTATTGAAAAGCTTGGTGATAATTTTGTGTCCAGAAATATGCTGCTGGCAATATAACCTCTGTAAGTATATTCAAAGAGCTACTAAATACTGAAAAAAACTATAAAAGGATTAAATATAACAAAGTAGATAAGATAATCAATGTTCAAAAAACAAGTCTGAGGAAATGTAATGGTGAGCGTAATAGTGATAATAACGTACATTATTCAGATAGGATAAACCTGATTCTTAATGTATAAAGGAAATAACCAAGGTTTTAAACTCATCACGAATGGTGCACACAATCAAAAATTAACTCAGAAAGGTATTTTCCTCTGACCAGTAGAGGACTGTGTGACCATACCACATTGGTTTTGAGGAAGCTTAAAGGTACTTACAGAAAAATTGTCTGTCTGCCTGGCTCTCACTTAATACTCTAATATTTCTGTATTCTAGCCAGTTGGAAAGTGCAAGCAGCTAACCTTTCGAGGCAGGCGGAGTGAAGAACCTATTCTGGCTGTGGAAGGCCCCCCGTCCTCCTCGATTGCCTGAGAAGCCACCGCGAGAAGAGATCTTCTGCGAGACTTTGAGCGGCCGCTTGGGAGGCGGGATTCCGTCCTGCGGGACCACTTCTTTACTCTCGGCCGCCACAAAGTCGTCCACGTGCATGGAGGGGGGCCTGCTCGTGTTCTGCTTCCGCTGCCGGAAGATGTCGTGGGGCCGCACGCCCTGCCCAAAGCCTCCTCTGCCCCTTCCCCGCGGCGGTGGCACCACGTGGGCGCGTTTGGCAGGCTCGATATATTCTGATTTTCCGCTAGTAAAGGAACAAGAAGACTCCATTAGCTGTGTCCTCCCTCTGTGTGTGTGTGTGTGTGTGTGTGTGTGTGTGTGTGTGTGTGTGTGTGTGTGTGTTCGGTGCAAATGTCAAGTTCAGCTTTGCAATACTGAAAAATACTTTTCAATTTCTTATCGAGTTGAGCCTGCACACACATCTATTAGTTTGCAACAGAGGAGGTAGGGGTAAGGATGACGTGCGGATTCCATTCACTGGGGAGTGACAATCGTGTGTCTGTATCAAAACCCGCTCCCGTGACTACCAACAGAAGCCAGGTATCCGACAGGCAATTGTACCTCGATGTTATGAAGGTCTCGTGCTTGTGCTTCCCCAGCTTGAACCCTTTTGTTGTCTTGGTTCTTCCTGGAGATGACGGTTCTGACAAAAAGGAGCGCTCTAATTCGGAGTGCAAGTCAAAGTCGCTGCAGCACTTTTCAGAAAGCTCAATTAAGTCAACTTTTACCTGTGGCCATAAACATGAAACAAAATGAAAAGCCACCCCCACAGTATACCACAGGGTCACAGCCCTCCTCGGAGGAAGGCAATCCGGAGACCTCTTCCTCCTCACATGCAGTTCAAGATTTCCCTCTACAAATTAAGAATACGGCATCGCCAGAGCGTTCCCCAAATGACTCTGGGAAGAACGCGCTAGTGTGTGGGCCTTGCACGTTGGCCTATGTGCCCCAAGGCTTCCGGGCCACGGCTCTCACTCTGTGAACTGAACGAGGCCCTGAGGAACTAAGTTTACTTCCAAGAAAACAAATTATATACACGTAGGTGTCATTTAAATTTATCAAGCCCACAGGCCTCCAATTTTTTTCTCAACCATGTGATGAGAATCACCACACATCTGTGGCTCAACAGAAAGTTCTCTCTGTTCTATCCCTCTGACCCCTAGGTTGACACCACCCCACGATTCATTGTTTTAAAACCCCCAAACAGGAATGAATTGGGGATTCTGTGGATATTTTTCTTTATTATGTACCCTGTAAATATAAGAAAACACAGTAAGAGGAAACTTAAGAAAATGTAATTTCTCCTCCAAGAGTCTCATTCTCTAATATAAAATAATTGCTAACTAGGGAGATACAAACTAAGTAGCATAAAAACTGAGAGTGTGCAGGGCCTGAGAGCTAGTACAGGGATTAAGGCGCTTGCTTTGTGGCCAACCTCATCGTAAATCCCAGGCACCACCCACACATGGTCTCCCGGGCACAGAAACAAGAACTGCTCCTGGACACTACTGGCTGTGGCCCCTAAAATCCCTTCCGCCCTCCCCCAAACAACGTAGAGTCCTAGAAACCAGTATGTGAGTGAGTGATCAAAAACAAAAACCCACAGTGCTGTGGGCCAGGGAGAGTTCAAAGGCTAGAAAACATGCTTTGTGTTTGGGAGATACAGGTTCACTCTTGTTTGGCCTGGCCCCTGAGCACTGCTAGGTGTGGCCCCAAAAGAAAACTAATGAAAGAAAGTAACACAGTACTGGTCCCTAAGAGACTTTTAACAGTTGTGTAGTATTTTAGTACTAACAATGCCAAAGAAATTTTTTGTATTTTTTTTTTGCTTTTTGGGTCACACCCGGTGATGCTCAGGGGTTACTCCTGGCTCATGCACTCAGGAATTACTCCTGGCAGTACTCTGGGGACCATATGGGATGCTGGGAATCGAACCAGGGTCAGCCATATTGGCTGCGTGCAAGGCAAACGCCCTACCCACTGTGCTATCGCTCCAGCCCCAACAATGCCAAATATATTTTTAAATAGTAACTTTTTTCCTACTACTTAGTGGGCTGGAGTGATAGTCGGGTAAGGCGTTTGCCTTGCATGCAGCTGACCCGGGTTCGATTCCTCCATCCCTCTTGGAGAGCCCGGCAAACTACCGACAGTATCCCACCCACATGGCAGAGCCTGGCAAGCTCCCCATGGCGAATTCGATATGCCAAACACAGAAACAACAAGTCTCACAATGGAGATGTTACTGGTGCCCGCTTGAGTAAATTGATGAACAACGGGAGGACAGTGCTACAGTGCTTAGTAAGAAAATTGTTCATACCAAATCCAGATCTGTATCAATCTCTTCAGCCTGAAATGGAGTAAACCACATAGATTTCAACTGATCGTCCATGACATCAGCGAGTACATATGCAGTCCTAGAAAGCAAAAGTATTTAAACAAAAAGCAGAGTTGAAAAAGAAAATATTCAGATTATCTTTCTAAGTAAAATCTGTGGAAAGTTCAATTAAAATTAAATGATGCAAATCCTTGGCCCCAGATTATAAGAAATAAGAAAGTCAAGGAAGAAGTAGGGCAAGGGGTAGGTGGGGAGAGAGAGACAGAGGCTGGTAGTAATACAAAGGCCCTGAGCAAGCTGGCAGACATTGTGTGGTGTAGAAGCAAAGTAACTCTGTACATCAAAATTGTCAGAATTGGAGCTGGAACGATAGTACTGTGGGCTGAGGCTTTTGCCTTGCACACAGCCAACCTGGGTTCGATCCCTGGCATCCCATATGCTTCCCAAGCACCACCAGGAGTGATGCAGAGGCAGGAGCTTGCCGGGCTCTCCGAGAGGGGCAGAGGAATCGAACCCAGCTTGGCTGGGCTGGCTGCGCGCAAGGCAAATGCCCTACCGCTGTGCTATCGCTCCAGCCCGTCTTACTAAAAATTTTGTGGGTTTTTGTTTGTTTCTGGACCACACCTGACTGCCCAGGGGACTATACGTGGTCCCAGGTATTGAACCTGGGTCGACCACGTGCGAGGCAAGTGCCCAAACTGCTGTACTATTGCTCCAGCCTCCGAAAACGTTCTCTCTACATCTCAGTCAAGACACAAACTATTTTCCCAGATAAACTATTTGCTTGATTTACCTATTATTGAACAGATTTTGGAGAGATTCCGGAGCTGAAAGTATTGGTTCTACATCCTGGTCCCCGAGAGGTAAAGGATCACCAGAAGACTCTAGCATCTGCTTCAGCCCAACAACGCTGTCCAACAGAGAGTCCAGATTGTCATCCTCTTTGGAATGTTCCTAGGTACAAACAAAAGCAGAATAAATCGCTGCGGGCAAAAACCCAGCATTTATGCCCATAATCTACTGACCCTTTAGCAGAAAAGGCTACACATTTCATTACTCAGAAATAAGGAGTACCATCAATCCATAAACATCCAACATAATCAAATCAAATTGGCACTACACAGACCTGCCATTTCACTTCTAAAGGATGATGGCAGGGGCACCCAGCACCCAAACAACAAACAATTCAAACAGCATTGTCTCCATTTACTCCTCTAAAGATCTGTATCAGAACGGAGAACTTCACTCCAAATTATGGATTCAAATAATTATTGGAAACAGTTATAAATGTCCAACTGAGTTGTCAGTATTTTGAAAGGACACTATAAAAATCTTTTACTGTACTAGTCAATTTGGGAAGAAATGTGTCTTGGGAGTGAGGTGCTTTTTTGATTTTTGTTTTTGTTTTGTCTTTTTTACCAAAACAAGCTTCTCTAGTTCAAGGAACAAATTTTCTGGACTTTCTTCTTTGCTTTGTAGAAGCTGTTTTAACTCTGCAGCATTAATACTCATCGTCCGTGATGGATGAGCTCCCTCTACTTCCATGAGACCACTATCATCTCCACAACATCCCTGTAAATGTCACACACAAGTTAAATTTGACAGCAGAGAAATTCGCAAAGATGCTTCCAAACTTATTCAGATATTTAAATCATTTGCTGCAACCTTCCCCTTAATGTACTGGTTTGACACCGTTACAAGTGACCAATTTTAAGAAAGATTTAGTCAGCTGAAAGCTGAAGTAAGATATAAGTAAGACAGAGTTAAACGCATGCATTCAAATGACTCAACCACGATTTGGTGGCAACAAAATTTCTCAACAAAAATATCCAATGGCAAATACACTGGCATTTGCAGGACACATGACATACTGACATTCAATAAAATGCCTGCCATAAATAGTGAGAACTGATGGACTCTAATCTTTCTGGAGATAAGGCAAGAAATTAAAGAGAAGCAGCATTTGGCAACAGGGGTACAATAAAAAGTATGCCAAGAAAACTTTCTTAAAATTGGGATGCAGGGGCTGGAGAGATAGCACAGTAGGTAGGGTGTTTGCCTTGCACGCAGGTTCGATTCCCAGCATCCCATATGGTCCACCGAGCACCACCAGGAGTAATTCCTGAGTGCATGAGCCAGGAGTAACCCCTGTGCATCACCGGGTGCGACCCAAAAGGCAAAATAAAATAAAATAACTTTAAAAAATAAAATCAAATCAAATCGGGGTATAATTTATTACAAAACTCATGGAGCAAAACAAATCGTGGTTCATGACAATAAATCCATCCTACTGTAACATATGATAAAAAAAACTCATAGTTTTGAATCTTCAGAACACAGACTTATTTGAAATAGGGCTCAAAATAAATACCATATCCAACATTACACCTACTAATTTAGGACACACCATCATCTATTATGACGACTGATTATCATCTATTACTGTTAGGTGCAGGGGAATGAAGCCAAGCCTCAGACATAGGAAACATCAATAGTCCCACTGACACCCACACCCCAGATCTGGCATTTTAAGCAGGCTTTAACGATGAACATTGGGGGCCAGGAAGACGGCTCAAAGGTCTGGAGCGCACAGCTGGCATTCCCTGGGTCCTGAGTTTGCTCTCTGGTAGCACATGGCCTGCCAAGTACCACTGGATATGGTCACAATGGCCCTTAGCACCAATGGGGAGATGTACCGCCTTAAGCCCCACTGACTGACTCACACACACACAGACACACACACACACTCACTTACTCTCTCTCTCTCAAAATTTGCTTGGAATTTCTAACAACACATTTTCTTTCTTCGTTTTGAAGCCAGATCAAGTGATGCTCAGGGCTTCCCCCTGGCTCTGCACTCAGGAATCACTCCTAGCAAGCTTGGGGGATGCCAGGTATCAAACCTGGGTTGCCTGCATGAAAGGCAAGTGCCCTGCCCACTGTACTATCACTCCAGCCCCCAAAACAAAGTCTAAATGAAAATTATTCTTTAAAAGATTTGCCCTTTTCGGGGCCGAAGCGATAGCACAGCGGGTAGAGCGTTTGCCTTGCATGCGGTCGACCTGGGTTTGATCCCTGGCATCCCATATGGTCCCCCCGTCCTTCACGCCCTACCGAGGTCACCAGTTGCCCCCCACGAGCGGCTCTCCAGCACGGCCACAGCCCCAGAAGCACAAGGGCTTAATGCAGAACCCAGCAGCTTGGAGCAGAAAAGTGAAAGGACTATGCGTTAATCCAGGCAATCATTTCTGCCCAGAGGGGAAAGGGTGTTGCTCCCTTCCGCCCTCCTCCCTCTGGAAAGAAAGATGGCGGCCACATGGGAGCCTTGTGGACAGCAGGTATGAGCCGGGAGTGTGGGGGCGACTAAAACCTCATGGGAAGGGGGGCGTTTCGCTCCGCCCTTCACGCCCTACCGAGGCCATCAGTTGCCCCCCACGAGCGGCTCTCCAGCACGGCCACGACTCCAGAACCCATATGGTCCCCCAAGCACCGCCAGGAGTAATTCCTGAGTGCAGAGCCAGGAATAACCCCTGAGCATCGCTGGGTGTCACCCAAAAACCAAAAAAAAAAAAAATTTGCCCTTCTCAGGTTGGTGATGGAGCACTGTACAGCTGAAACTCAATCACAAATATCTTTGTAATTTTCCATTAAAAAATACAAAAAGGGAAAAAGAGTTCCCCCCCCCCAAAACTAATACTTAAGAAAACTACAGACTAAGTCTCGCTAGCGTTGTGCAAAGGAAGAGAAGGTACAGTTTTGTTTGGTTGATGTTTTTTTTTTTCTTTTTTGGGTCACACCCAGCAACGGTCAGGGGTTGCTCCTGGCGCTGCACTCAGAAACTACCCGAGGTGGTGTTTGGGGAAACATGTGGAGTGCTGGGAATCAAACCCGGGTCAGTCGCATGCAAGGCAAACGCCCTAACCGCTGTGCTATCGCTCCAGCCCGAGAAGATACAGTTTTAATGAGAAACTTAATAAACTAATATGTCCTCACAGATATGGCGAGACCAATAAAGGTCTAATCTATCTTTATTCAAAAAGGTTCAAGTGAACAAAAAACAATCATCGGAGTGCACTGGCACACAGTGAAGAAACCACAGAGAGGAAGCACCCCAGGGGCAGTCTCTATCTCCCAGATGTGTCCTCTCTGCTCCCTCCACTCTGGAGAAGCCCCTAGCTTCTCTCGGGAGCATGTGACTCCCTCTCCTTCCTCCCTACTCCCTCATTTCCCAAAATAAAATTTGGAGGGGATGGGGCAGGTAGGGCCAAGGGCCTGGGCACAGCTGGCTGTGCTTAGGACACCATACCGCAGTGCCAGAGAGCAAACTGGGGTTGGCCACACGCGGGGCAAGTGCCTTACCTCTGGCACTATCTCTCTGCTCCCAAACTATTTCACTTGAAAGGGAAGAAGAATGGTCCCTACTTGTGGAGCAAATGCATACTCTGGTCATGCGTGCACTTTCCATGCCGGCGGCCTGGGCTCAACCTCTGGTACTGGAGGATTCCCCAAGCAGAGCCGGGAGCAGCCCCGGATCACAGTTAGGAAGGGAAGCAGAGTACTTCCAAGGCAGTCCCCAGGTCAAACTAAATATGCATATGATAACAGACCAATATTCATGTGTAGAAATAAACACATTAGCCAGATTACAAACTAGGTGTTAAAGACACCTAGTTTTTTCCTCACTCCTAACTATTGATGCCTCTTCCTGAGGTGGGTGACTATTCGCTGAATCAGAAAGCACTTACAGAGATCACTATTCTCTGTTTGGGGGTGACACCTGATGATGCTAGGGGGCTCCACCAAGATACAGTGCAGAGATCGAAGCCGGGACTCCCAGACAGAGCGGGTGCTCAGCCCACTGAGCTGGTGCTCTGGCTTATTAGTTTTGTTTTGTTTTCTTTTACTTTTTTGGGCCACGCCTGGTGATACTCAGGCGGTTACTCCCAGCTATGCAAAATTACTCCTGATGGTGCTTGGAGTACCAGGGACCAAACCCGGGTAAGCCATGGCAAGGAAAGCGCCCTACCTGCTGTACGACCACTCCAACTCCAGAGATGGGAGAACTTAGTTTCAGACAAAACGTGAACACAGATGTTTTTAAGAGCTGTAGTAATAATGGCCAAAATCTGGCAACAACCAAGATGGTCCTTCACTAGGTCAATGAATAAATAAAACGTAGTACAGCTGGATAATATTATTTGGCCCTCAAAAGTTATGAGCTATCAAGCCAAAAATAGATACGAAAGAATTTCTATGTATGATCTGATTCCAATTATATAATATTCATAAAAAGCATAATTACGGGTGCAATAAAATACCAGTATTTGCCCTTATGCCAGGGATTAGGGAAAAAAACACAGAGGTGAGCACAAAAGCTTTAGAATGTATAGAATACTATACTAGTGAATACATCATTGTACATTTGCAAAAAATCCACAGAATAACCCAATAGAAAGTGAGAGGCCTATGGACTTGGATAATATAGAGACCTAGACTATGTACAGCAATGTAACAACAGTAACATATATACCATTCAGGTGCAATAGGTTGGTAGGAGGTGCCAGGAGAAAACGAATAATGATAAAATCTTGCGGATGGAGATGGTGAAAGCAAAGTACCAAGAACTTCCTACATTCAATTTGGCTGTGGACCTAAAACCGCTCTAAAAATTAAAATCTACCAAAAACACTATTGGGGAGAAAGACCAAAGTACAAACTGGTAGAAAAGACGCACAAGGTTCTTGCCTCTCTTTCAGCTTTCATTCCCACAAGCAAACACTTGGAGCGGAAGCTCCGTGGCGGCGTGCAGGGCCCTCCTGTCTCTGCGGCTGGCAGGGACCTGATGAGGTGGCAGGAACTGATCCCAGGTCAGCTGAGTACACACAAGGGCCTTAATCCCTGTACTATCTCTCCAGTTCCAAGAGAAACTCTTTAATTCATTTTTTGGGGGGGGAGGGTCACACCCAGAGGTGCTCGGGGCTCACTCCTGGCTCTGCGCTCAGGGATGACTCCTTTCGGGCTACGGGGAACGTACACAGGGATCAAACCCAGGTTGGCTGCATGCAAGGCAAACGTCCTACCTGCTATATTATCTCTGGCCCCAAATAAAGAAATTCTCTATCAGATTTTAGCAATAAGAATTTTTATTTGGAGAAATAAAACCTCTCATTCGTGTTTACTATGGATGTAAAAACCTTTAATTTATATCCATTCCCAAGCTATAAAATCCGAAAACACAATGAGTAATGTTCAATTAATGACAGAGTGTGACAAAACTGAATGATTCTAAATGACTCTGGGACGTAACTTGATGTAGAGAATTAAGGCTTAAAATAGGGAAAAAAAAATGGGCAGAGCCTTTCACTCTGCAGTGACCTAAAGCACTGCCAGGGGTTATTCCTGAGCACTGGTAGATGCAGACCAAACCACCCCCCACCCCCTACCCACCATCAAAGTAGGGCATCTTAGATAGTATTTTATCTGTTTATGTCTATAAACCATAGAAAACCAATGACAACTAACAAAGAAGAGGCCAAAAAACCTTTTGGGGTGGGGGTGCAGTTTGGGCAACACCCGGCTCTGTGCCCAGGGCATGCCTGGGGACTGCATGTGATGCCCAGGATCACACCTGGGTCAGCAGCATGCAAGGCGGGTGCCCCACCCACTGTGCTGCTGCTCAGGCCAAATAAATCCTACTCTTAAAACGCCAATTGAAGGGGGGAAAAGAAAGAGTACAGTGGGCAGAGCACTTGCCTTCCGCACAGCTGTGGGAGTTTGATCCCCAGAACCCTATATGGTCCCCTATGCCCGTCAGAAGTGCTCACTGAACACAGAGCTAAGAGTAACCCCAGAGCACTGCTGGTGTGGCCAAAAACCAAACCAAAAATCCAAATCTATGTAATAAACAAAACACATGTATTTACAGTAGCATGATGGTACAGAAAAAAACATTGTTCTAAATTCCAAAAACCACTATACCATTATTTTTTTAATCTGAGCGTTTCTTTAACTTGTAATTAAAGCTCATAAACTTAAGAAACACTAACACTTACCATTGTGTCAGAGTTAAGAATCTGCCGCATAAATTCCAAAAATGATGAAGCAAGTTCACCTGTGTCTTTACTGAATGTGCTGATCACTCGTTTCAGTAAACTATGCAAAGCATTTGTATTTTTCCTTAGAGAACTGCAAATAAAGATTAATAGAGAATGTCTCAAAATTTGAACAAACAAAAATACTAGTATGAGACAGGTACAATCCCAGTAAAACAAAGTAAAATTTTGGTGCACCTGCATACAGAAACCAGAAAACCACCCTAAAATTTACTTTACCTTTTAAAAGCTATGAAAACAAAGCTGTTTCTAGAGTTGACAGTTTTTGTTTTGTTTTTTGGGCCTCGCCCTGTGCTGGGTGTGTGTGGGGGGGGGGGGGGGGGGCGGGAGGGGGGAGGGTGCTCCTGGCTCTGCCCTCAGGAATCATTCCTGGCGGTTCCCAGGGGCCACATACGATGCCGGGATCAATCCCAGCTTGACAGCGTGCAAGGAACGCCCTACCTTCTGCACTATCACTCTGGTCCCAAGTAGACATCCTTGAAAGCTGGCGATTTCCTGTGGTGCCGGACGTCCAAGAGGTCTTCTACAAGGCAGGTGCTTAGCACCAAGTCATATTCCCAGCCCTAAGCTTTAAATCCCCGAAGGAAAAAAACCCTTGGGTGCGAGGACAATGTATGCCTCTATTAGGGCCCACGACAGAGGTCAGAAGCGCCTCAGCTCTTGCAGCTGGGCCACACCTGGGGGTGCTCAGTGCTGACTCCGGGCTCTACACTCACACGTCATCCCGGACAGGGCTTCGGGCACCCTGTGTGGTACTGGGGGTTGAACCCGGGAGAGCTGCATACAAGGCATCCACCTTACCTGCTGGACTATTTCTCAGGCCCCTAGACTTTTTTTTTTTTTAATTTTTATTAGTGAGACACCATGAGGTACAGTTGTAGATTTACAAATTTTGTGGTTGGGTTTCAATTATACAATCATCAAATACCCATCCCTCCACCAGTGCCCCTAGACAATTTTTATGGGAAGAGTCTAATGATAAAAACTTGGTTTTTCAAAAGGGAATGCCCTGCCACAGAGGCAGGGTGGGATGGGGGGGGGGGGGGGGGAATATTATCGATGGTGGTGGAAATTGGGCACTGATGGAGGGATGGGTATTTGATCATTGTATAATCGAAACCCAAGCACAAAAAAATTGTAAATCTACATCTGTGCTTCATGGTGTTTCACTAATAAAAAGAAAAAAAAGATACTAAAAAAAATTTAAAAACTTGGTTTTTCTGGGGCCAGATTGATAGTGAAGTGGGTAGGGTGCTTGTCTTGCATGTGGTTGGCCTGGGTTTGATCTCCAGCATCCCACGGGGTGCCCCTACCCGAGTACCACCAGGAGTGACACCTGAGTGCAGATTAGGAGTAATCCCAGAACACCACAGGGTGTGGCCATCCAAAAAAAAATTAAAAATAATAAAGAAAAAAAATCAAAAAAACCTTTGGTTTCCCTGGGCTACAGACAACTGCAAAACCACAGTAGCCTCAATCACAAATGCTAACTGGCAGAGTAGAAGAGCACTCAGAGAAAACACATAAATGCTAAATTCCAATGAAATGTTATTTACAAAAGCTGGAGAGTGAGCTTGGTGTTCTAGAGCACATGCTTTACATGAGGAAGGCCTGGCGTTGATTCCCAGCTCTGCAGGGTTCCCCAGGTGGAAGTCGCAAGGCACTTGGGATAGAGAAGGGACCATAAGACAATGGTAGTTGGAAATGATCACTCTGGGTAAGAACTGCGTGCTGAAGGGAGGTAAAGGAACAAAAGCGATCACCTCTCAGTACCTGTATTGCAAACCATAATGGCCGAAAAGAGAGAGAAAGGAGTGCCTGCATAGAGGCAGGCTGGTGGGCTGGTGGGGGTGTAGGTGGGGGGAGGGGAGGGGAGAGAAGTGGGGAGTAAAGGGCAGGAAACTGGGGACATTGTATGACTGAAACCCAAACATGAACAGCACTGTAACTGTGTATCTCACAGTAATTCAATAATAACAATAGCAGCATCGTCCTGCTCGAGGGGGCCCAGTAACATCTCCATTGTGAGACTTGTTACTGTATTTTTTTGGCATATGAAAAAGTCACGGGGAGCTTGCCAGGCTCTGCCGTACAGGCGAGATAATCTCAGGCGAGATAATCTCGGTAGCTTGCCGGGATCTCCGAGAGGGGCGGAGGAATCGAACTCAGGTCGGCTGCATGTGTCGCGTGCAAGGCAAACGCCCTGCCCACTGTGCTATCACTCCAGCCCTAATAATAATAATAGTACTCAATAATCATAATAGTACTAAGAAAAATATTAATATCCATGAGTTCAACCAATAAATTCCTGAACAGATAAAAATAACCATTCTTTCACACAAAAGGAAAAATAACAAATCAGAAATAAACTTTTGAGTTAGAATATCACCATTAGGAGACATTACTAATAACTCCTACATTCCAAGATTCTCTACTGGACACTTAAATTAGCGGATGAAAATTTTTGCTTTGAGACCACCTAGTAGTATTAGGGTCTCTCCTGGCTCTGTGAAGGGGGTAGAGAAAGGTCTGGGGGAACAAAATGTTTAAGCAAAAATAGGATATTTTTGGTCTCAAGACAGTAAAAAAATTCTGCAATTAAAAATACTACTACCACTACTTCCACTACCCAGCCGTTGCCACACTCCAGGACGCTTTCCGGACCCGCGCGGCCGCAAGCGGCCGCACAACACATCATAAGACACTAAATACACATCTTCTGGAATTGTCGTACCATATTTGATAGGGTTCAAATATGGTAACACCTACAAGGGTGATTAGAGGTCACCCCAAAAGCCTCTATCCCTCTCGGAAAGACTGGCAAGCTACCGAGAGTATTCCGCCCGCACGGAAGAGCCTGGCAAGCTATCCGCTGTGTATTCGATATGCCAAAACCAGTAACTACAACTGGTCTCATTCACCTGACCCTGAAGGCTTCACCGACATGGCAGCACTGAGAAGGATGAGAAAGGAGAGGCCGACAAAATCTCAAGGCCGACCTAGGCTGCCACAACGAAGGAAGACAAAAATGATCGTCTGTACTTTCAATGCACGTACGCTAGCATCAGATGCATCCATCGAGGACCTGATGGTACAAGCGCGAATGATCAAGTACGACATCATTGGTCTGACCGAGACAAGAAGGCACGAATCTCACCATGCCGTTTTCGACACTGGAGAAGAATTGTTCCTCAGAACATGCGATAAAAGAGGTGTTGGAGGCGTCGGTGTCCTTGTCAACACAAACTTGGCCATGAGCATTGATTCATTCGATTGCCTAACAACCCGAATCGGACGTTTACATTTGAATAGATGTGGCTCACTGCCTGCAGTTTCTATCTTCGTTGTCTACGCACCAACATCTCATTATGATGAAAGAGAAATCGAGAAGTTCTACATGGAGCTAGAGAAGTTCTATAAAGAAGACCACACCTTCTACAAGATCATTGTGGGTGATTTTAATGCCAAGATAGGACCGAGAAGATCAGCTGAAGAACTTCACATCGGGACCCATGGCCTAGAATGGAACGAACAGGGTGAGAGACTGTCAGAGTTCATCATGTCGACCAAGACCATCCATGGTAACTCACAGTTCCAGAAGGCAGAATCTAAACGATGGACATGGGAGTCTCCCGGTGGACGATTCCACAACGAAATAGACCACATCATATTCAATCGACGGTTTTGCCTGACTGATGTCGCTGTTGTCCCAAAATTTCGAACGGGATCGGACCACCGTCTCCTTCGTGCAAAATTCTACTTCACAGAGCGGGGAGAAAGGGCTGCAAAGTTCAAAAAGAGAACTCCCAGAATGACCACCAACTGGGAACTCTTTGGTACTATTGCGGCAACATGGGAAGATGCCATCATTGACAACATTGACGAGGAATACGATCGACTGGTTCAGCACCTCCATGAATGTGCGAGGAACGCCAAGAGAGAGATAGCCACAAAAAGTCGCCTATCTTCGAAAACTCTTGAGCTAATTCGCCAGCGTGGTTTGGCGCATGCCTCAGGCAACCGCAAGCTAACGTCCGAGCTTGCAAAGCAGTGCAGAGATGCGATCAAGGAAGACCTCAAAGAGAGAAGAGCAGAAGTACTGGTAGATGCGACAGAAGCCGGGAAAAGTATTCGTAAGGCCCGCCTGTCCTTCGCCAACTATAAGAGCAAGATGACTGCCCTCCGACGTCCTGATGGATCCATCACATCCTCCAGAACGGCAATGGAGAAGATTATCCATGACTTCTACTCAAATCTCTTTGATAGCCATGTCCACTTGCCAACATACCAAATTCCACAGGATGGGTATGTTGTTCCCAACGTTCTCCCCTCCGAAATCCGACAAGCCATTTCGTTGGTAAAGAAACAAACAGCACCCGGCCCAGACAAGGTCAGACCTGAACACCTGAAGAACCTGCCGTCAGTACTCATCAATACACTGGCTCGGCTCTTCACTCGCTACCTGTCTGAATGCAAGGTTCCGTCCCAATGGAAAACCAGCAGGACCGTACTACTGTTCAAGAAGGGAGACATCCATGACATTGGCAACTATCGCCCGATCTGCCTATTGTCTGTCATCTACAAGTTGTTCACTCGAGTCATCCTGAATAGGATTGGCAGAACATTAGATGAAGGACAACCATGCGAGCAAGCAGGGTTCCGCAAAGGATTCAGCACCATCGACCATATCCACACGATAACCAAACTCATTGAGGTTTCTCGGGAGTTCAAGATGCCGCTCTGCTTAACGTTCATTGATTTAAAGAAGGCCTTTGATTCTGTTGAGACGGAAGCGGTCATTGAAGCCCTAGCCAATCAGGGCATTCAAGCCCAATACATCAGGATCCTCCGTGAGCTGTATTGCGGATTCACTACCAGGATCTCACCATTCTACAAAGAAGTGATTGTTGATGTCAAGAGAGGGGTGCGGCAGGGTGATACCATTTCACCGAAACTCTTCAGTGCCACCCTCGAGAACATCATGCGATGACTGGAATGGGAAGGAATGGGAGTGAAGATAGATGGTCGGCAACTACACCACCTCCGCTTTGCTGATGACATTGTTTTAATAACACCAAACATCAGCCAAGCGGCACAAATGCTGGCCGACTTTGACCGTGAGTGTGGAAAGGTAGGACTACAGCTGAATCTTACGAAGACAATGTTTATGAGAAACAGCCTTGTTCCTGATGCCCCATTTGCTCTCAATGGAACGACCATCTCCGAATGCAACAGCTACGTGTACCTAGGTCGAGAGGTCAACATGACAAATGACCTGGCACCCGAGCTGCGCAGGAGGAAGAGAGCGGCTTGGAACGCCTTCAAGAACGTCGAAGAAATAGCTAAGAGGACGAAGAACCTCCGGCTCCGGGCACATCTCTTTGATTCCACTGTTCTTCCTGCATTAACATATGCCTCAGAGACCTGGGCCCTACGCAAACAAGATGAGAACGCTATTCAGGTCTCCCAAAGAAGAATAGAAAGAGCTATGCTTGGAATATCACGTTTCACTCAAATGAGAGAACGAATCCGGAGTTCTGACATCCGTCGACGATCAAGGATCAGGGACGCTGTCTCATTTGCCAAGGTGTCGAAAATCAGATGGGCTGGTCACGTAATGAGATTTAAAGACGACCGTTGGACTAGAGCTGTTACTGATTGGATTCCACGGGATGTCAAAAGACCGCGTGGCCGCCCACCTACCAGATGGTCAGACTTCTTCGTCAAGATCATGAACGATCGGTTTGAGGCCCTTCATGTTCCCGGAGCGAACAGATGCCATTGGGCTACACTAGCACGCGACAGGGACAAATGGAGACGTTACTGGCGCCCGCTCGAGCAAATCGACGACTAACGGGAAGTTAAGTGATTAAGTGAAAAATGAAAAATTAGGGGCTAAAAAGATAATAGAGGGTAAGGTGTTTGCCTTGCATACAGCTGACCTGGATTCAATTTCTGGCATCCCATATCGTCCCATCATCACAGCCAGGAGTGACTCCTGAGCACTGCTGGGTTTGGTGCAAAAAAAAAATAAATAACCCCATCAAGTTTGCAACACATAACCCTGGCCAACAGTACCTCAATCAAATGGTCAAGGCTAATATCAATAACACATCATCAATTTCTGAGGTTTATCATTCCCGTCTATGACAGTCTATAACCAGGGGGATTAAGAAAAGTGTTCGGCTTTCTTATATATGTAATGTATAGGTCAAGTTCCAAAGCAATGAATTTCCACTATTTTTTTTTTTTTATTCCTGCAGACCACCACTTCTTTGTAGACCGGAAATAAAAAAACCACTGTGCTAACGGATAAAAACATCCAAGCAGTAGGGGAAAAGACATTCAGGAAATAAAATGTCAAGTCTTTGGTGATTAGAGTTAGAAGAAAGTAAAAATACCTGGGATACTTAGCAGGTACTGAAAACAGAGAGTGCAAGACAGGAGACAGGGTTATCAGGATACAAAGATAAAGAAGGTGGGCACCACATCACACACAGCATCAAGAACACAAATGTAACACATTTGTTGTACTGAGGCAAAAATATGTATTTTCTTGTGCTTTTTATCTCATAAGCATGAAATGTATGTAATAACCAGATACCTTCCTAATAAAAAGGTGAGAGTCCGGCAGAGAGAAGAGCAGAAACTACACTTGAAAATTTAATTTTCTTAGATATTCTTTAGAGAAAAATAAGATCAGCACTTTGGGGCTTAAGGTCACCAAATATGACCTTTGAAGGACCACAAGACAAGTTATCTTAAAGCTGAATCAGCATCTCTGAAACAGTAACTTTTCCTGCTTAAACAAAAAATCTTAGCACAGGGCTAAGACACTTGCCTTGCATAGGGCTGACCCCAGTTTGATCCCTAGCACCGCATACGATTTCCTGACCAAAACAAGTGACCTCTGAACAGAGTTAGGGATAACCACCCAAAAAAAAAAAAAATCCACAATTTAAAAATCGTACATTAGTCTACCCCACCTATATTTTATTTATTTATTTATTGCTTTTTTGCTTTTTGGGTCACACCCGGTGATGCCCAGGGTTTACTCCTGGCTCATGCACTCAGGAATTACTCCTGGCGGTGCTCGGGAGACCATATGGGGTGCTGGGAATTGAACCTGTGTTGGCCACACTGGCTGCGTGCAAGGCAAACGCCCTACCTGCTGTGCTATCGCTCCAGCCCCCCACCTATATTTTAAATCCAAGTATTTTTATTACTAGAACATTTCACTGCTAACAAATCTTTTCCATGAAGGAGGTTACATCTTCAACCTTCTCTAGAATAATTTGAGGGGTAACAGTCATATTTCAACGTACATTCAGTATACGAGGAGTTACCTTTTTAAGTGAAATAATCCATAATCATGCTCTGCCAGAAACATCATAGTCCTGACACATGTCAGCAAACAGTTATAGCTGCTGTCAGAGTTAGCCAGCATGGCCAGCAGGCAGTCGCAGATGGAGGCCATCAGCTCTTTGTTAGGGAGGGAGTTGGAGAGCTGCTCCAAGTCAGAGATCGAGCCTTCCGAAGAGTTGGGCAAAATAAGTGCGATGTCCTGTGAGGAAGGGAGCAGAGAAAAAGAATCTCCGATTTAAAAGTTCGTAATAACTTACTGAACTAAAAACTGAAAATCTTATCAAAGACAGATGGAAGGACTGTGACTTTCTGTCAACATTTGTAAGCACAGAAATCTGAGATACTCTAAATTATTGGCCTCCTGGAGCCAAAGAGATAGTACGGTGGGTAGGGCGCTTGCCTTGCACAACACTCATCCGGGTTCTATCCTTATCACCCCATCCGGTGCCCCAAGCCCACCAAGAGTGACCCTGAGTGCAGAGCCACGAGGAAGCCCGAAGCAACACCGGATGTTGGCGCTTACCACGGGCTACAACTGTACAGAAGAGGCACAATAAACTGACCCACAGACACATCAGCCCACACCCTTCATCTCATCTATATGTGAAAAGGAGGACATGGAAAAACAGAATTAAATGATGCTATGACATCTTCAAAACCTACAAGAGAACATGGTGATTACGCCAAACAATTACACACCTGTAAAATTCATGAATGATTTAAATCAAAATTGGAAAGAAAGAGACCTCACTCAACGTAGCCAATAGCAAATACAGTGGCACATATGACAACTATCCATGAGCTGGAGAGATGGTACAAAGAAAGGGTAGGCACATTCATGCCGTGCATGTGGCTCACCCGGGTTGGATGCCTGGCACCCCAGATAGTCCCCAATCCACTCCAGGCTCCCCCCGGAGCAGATTGAGGAATCACATGGGGTGCCGAGGACTGACCCTGGCTTGGCTGTGTGCAAGGCAAGCAGAGTTTAGCATGTTGGATGCACTCCCGAAACGCTACCCACTGTTTTCCCTGGCCCTCACAGGAAAAGTCTATCAAGAAAAGCTCTGAAAAGCATACACAACAATTTGCAAAACAATGATAAACACCTGGTCACAGAGCGACTGCAAAATGGAGGTGATGTATTCCACACACTGCTGGCGAGTGACGCTGTCCCCAGGAGACCGCACCAACGTTAACAGATCCTGGAATATTTCTCCGTATCTCTCGTCACCTTTAATAGTCCCATTAATTAGATGCAAAATAGCCAATTTACAAGCTTTGTGTGAAGTCAGAGCATCGAGAAGAGCAAGCAACCTGGTGGTCTGGCTGGTATACTGTTTGTCTTTATCTTCTGAAGTGCTGAAACAAAAACCAATAAATTTAGCAAACAAAATTCTTGATTTTAAGGCATTTAACTAACAGTTACTTTTTAACATATCGACTTATACAAACAAATCTTATATAAGCATTTCATTCCTTGGATATGACAACATTTTCTGCATTTCATGTCCACTACACATTTTGATGATTTTGGGTTTATAATGACGTACTAAGTCTGAGTGCTTTGTTTTGTGAAAACTACTCTCTGCTGTGGGTATCCTACACATGAAATAATTGTTTTCTCATTTAAAATAATCCAGGAAGGAGCCAGGGCTGGGTCTCCCTAAGTCGGGGTGCAGGCAAAGACCCCGGGCTTGATCCACGGCACTGCCTGGCCTCCTAGGCACCTCTCCATGTAGTGCTGGAGCCCCCCTGCAGTGCTGGGGACATCCAGACCAGGAAAACCGAAACAAAGAATCACAGATTTGTGTCTCCATAGCATTCTCAACTTGGGTTCCAAATCCGAGGTGGAAAAAAATCTGTCTTGGTCAAGGACAACTGGAGGAAAAACATTGTAATACAAAGTGGAAATACCGGGGCTGGAGTGATAGCATAGCAGGTAGGGCATTTGCCTTGCACGCAGCCTGACCCAGGTTCGATTCCCAGCATCCCATATGGTCCCCCGAGCATGGCCAGGAGAAATTCCTGAGTGCATGATGAACCAGGAGTAACCCCTGTGCATCGCTGGGTGTGACCCAAAAAGCAAAAAAAAAAAAAAAAAAAGTGGAAATACCTTTGCAAGTCTTCTACAATCAAATCCAACACCGTTCTCATGATCAGAAGCGCGGTGGGTGAGGCCAGGTCGCATAACTGGACACAGATTCGCCGCAGCATGTGCTGAATGGGCTGGCAGGTGGTGCCAGAGAAGGAGCGGACAATTTCCTGGAGCGACTTGGCTTGCACGTGAAGATGCATGCTCCACAGCTTCCGGGTGTTGAGTGCTACGGAGATATCTTGCGGCTCAATCACCTGTTGAGGAAGTATAATGAGTGTGTATGTAGAGTTTCTTAAAATATTTAGTCACAAAATTCATTCAGGAAGAACTGTTATGAAGAGGACATCTTTACCACTCTCTTAAAACATTTAATTTTCTAGAGTACAATGAAACATGTGCTTGTATTCAATGCAGCTAGAAAGATCTTATTGTTCCCGGTTTAGCAGTGAGCAGAGCAGTCCACTGGTGAAGCAACCTAGTATATGGCAAATTCTACTGCACGATGAAAAGAAAATAATAATTTAAAAATAAAAGATACAATGATACATAACAGCATAAAAATTCACATTCACAAAAATTCATTTAAAATGTTAACCCCATAGTTCCCTAATGACCAACTTGTTTCAACTGATCTCACCCTCATCCAGCTATCCTGTCTTTTTTAGAGGATGAGGATGAGAACATATTGTGCTTCCTGTTTTTTGTTTTTTTTTTTTAATCACTGGCTTTTAAAACACATTTACAGCAATGCAATCATTTCTAAGATGCATGTTATCTGGAAGTGATACCTGAGTTGTTTGCATGGGCAACGGGAGAGGCAGCAGCTCTGAAAGGAGTATGAGTCCAGAAAAAAATCCTTCAGGAACCTTCAGGATTGAAGAAAGAACTTCTTTTAACATTAAAGACCAAGTATTATTGGCCAGAGTCTCCTCGGAGATGGTGAGTTTTTCATTGACTCCCTGTGTGAAAGTCAGCAAAATGTCAATGATATCATTCTGAATTTTCTGCTCGTCACTGTCCAAACGACCTGAGAGGGGGATAGAGCACAGGAGCATGTGTAAAGTCACAAGTGCAGAAGGAACGCGCATGTCCTTGAACTCAAAGGATCCGCCTCGCAAGAGCTCCGTTAACATGGTCTTAAGCAGCGTGAGCGTGCAGCGGGCCATGGAAATGGTAGTCACTCTGTGAAGGGTTGTCCCCATGTTGACATGGAGCCTCCAAGGCTGAGTCAGAATTGTGTTCAGTTTCTGCAGAACCCGAATGAAGGTGTCCATTCCTTCAGCTGAAAAGAGCTGAATAACAGCAAGGTTCCATTTCAGATCTTTCTGTTGACCTTTACAGAGGAAAAGGTGGGAAAAATGAATTACTTACGTGTCAAAAATTAAGGGTTCTTAGTATTTCATTTAATGAGAATGCGAGACCTTTTAAAGTAGCTACATTACCTTCAACTGGCGGCGGTGGGCATGCCACGTTACAAAGAACACGCAAAGCAGTGGTGAGGCCAACTCCCTCCGGGGTCATCAAGTTGTCAATATTCTTTAGAAATAAAGAACAGAAAGTTGATTACCTTGCTACCAATGAGATCAAGTGATGATCCCAAAGAAGATTCACTTAAAAAATATGAATTTCAACCTGTCTGTGAGATATAATACTGGGATATAATACTTACGAGCACATAAAATGACTCAATGGAAAAAATATTAATTTCAGAAGGTTTGGAGAAAAGTACCACGGGTAAGTCACTTGCCTTGCACACAGCTGGCCCGGGTTTAATCCCCAGCACATCATATGGTTCTCCAAGTTCCGCCAGGAGTGATTCAGGAGTGCGAAGCCAGGAAGAAGGCCTGAGCACTGCTGGGTGTGGCCACAAGTTCCTCCAAACCCCACCCCCCAAAAAAATAATTTCAACTAAAGGCCCCTGTGAGGACTATTTCCTTACTTCATTTTTGTATATTGCAAGTAAATAGTGACTAAAAGTAACATAAAGTGCAGGAGATTTGTCTGTGTTAAAAAAAAAAATTTGGGGGGGGAGAGGGGGACGCATATGCTGCCCGAGCCCACGTGGTGCCCGAGCACATGTGTCGCCCACATCTCCCCTCTTGAGATGTGTACTTTCATGCTTTCACACCTAATGCTGGGTGTCTGTAGGGGCTCTCTCCGCCTCTGGAGAAGCCCGGGTTCTTTCTGGAGCACGTTACTCTCTCTCTCCCTCCACACCTTAAAAGCCCTCCAAATAAAATCTATTTATTTCAAAAAAAAAAAAATTTTTTTTTCTTTTTGGGTCTCACCCAGCTTTGCACAGGGGTTCCTCCTGGCTCATGCACTCAGGAATTAGTCCTGGCGGTGCTCAGGGGACCATACGGGTTGCTAGGAATTGAACCCGGGTCAGCCGCATGCAATGTAAATGTCCTATCCTCTGTGCTATCGCTCCAGCCCCGTGTTAAAAATTTTAAATGTACTTTTCTCTATACTCTTTCCATACATGATCTGCAACATGCCTTATTCAACACTACATACCAAAAGGAAGAGCGTTAAGTACTACCTACCATACACAGATACCACGGGGCCTGTGTATGAAGTCAGCTGGGGCATGATCAGAGGAGAAAAGAAAGAGCTGTCCTGCTCTTAGCACAAACCAATATTACATTGCTTCTCATCTCATTTCCTTTCGTCACAATTTACCAGTTAAAATTTAAGTTGCCGCCTTTTCTTTTTTTTAAGCTTCCACAGAACAGACTGCTCTATGTAGGTTTGGGGTGTTTTTGAAGCTGCCCCAATGGCAGTGCTCAGGCAGTGCTCTTCTGTCTCTGTACCAAGGAGTCACGAGTGACAGTGCTCAGGTTCCATGTACAGTTGCCAGGGACTGAATGGGGCTGGGCTACATGTATGGTCGGCCGCGCGGACCTGCCCTGTGCACTCCCCTCTTCTGCCCTTCTATGCCGTTAAAAGAAGGAAAGCAGAAAGAAAAAGAAAATTTCATGACTTCACAGAGGCAGGGTGGGATGGGGGGGATCGGGGGTGGGAGGGATACTGAGACCCTTGGTGGTGGGAAATGGGCACTGGTGGAGGGATGGGTATTTGATCATTGTATAATCGAAACCCAAGCACAAAAATTTGTAAATCTACAACTGTACCTCATGGTGTTTCACTAATAAAAAAAAGAGGGGGGAATAAATAAAAAAGAAAAGAAAAAGAAATTCAACTTCTAAGACTTAGTGGAAAAACTTAAAAAAAACTTCCATTGTTTCCCACCTAGATTACCTTTGCTTCCCATCTCATTTCCTTTCGTTAAGTCACAAATTACACAGAGCAGCAAAGGACAGAAGTGGAATTTCAGCATTTGTTGTTTATTTTGTTTTTCATGTTTGTATTCTGGTTTTTGGGTACATGCAGCGAAGCTCTGGGCTTACTCCTGGCTCTGAGTTTAGGAATCACTCCTGGCAGTACTCGGGGAACCATGTGGGTGCCGGGATGGAACCTGGTCAGTTGCATGCATTCAAGGCCAACGCCCTACTCACTGTACTATCACTCCAGCCCTGAGCAACAGCCTTAAGTCTTTAAATAAGACTCACAATAACTGTAATGAATGGGGGGAAATTTACATAAAAATAAATTCTTAATTGCAGTACCAAATTTAAATTTCTAGAAGAAAAATATATTGTGGCTTAAATACGTTTACACAACCCGTCCGACAGTTATTAGACTCTTTAATGGAAAGGAATACACCCACACCCTAGTACCTTGAACACAGGACAATCTAAATATACAGGATATAATACTTTTGAAAAATGAAAGACTGAGTAAAAACATCTAGATACCATCTGACGCAGAATTAGAACTACAGAAGCTGATGGCATCGTAGGAGGAATGGAGTGAAAGGGAAAGTAAGGAGAGACAAGTAACTGGAACAAATCTGAGGCAGGCCAGCCCAGGGATTTCTGTTCCCTTCATACCTGGGGACTGGCCGGTGGTGAAAATCCCCGGATTAGATAATATACATGCACTAGTAATACATTTCAGTTCTAAGACCAAGGTGACTGACATATTCATCCACTAAATTAAAGACCAGGTAATTAACTCACGGCGATTCTGCCCTCCTTTCTCAAAACTACATAGGCTTCTAAGAAGGAGCATCTTCAGTCCTTCCTACGTTAAGATACTAGATGAACTAAGTTTTAAAAAATCTTCATAAGCTTAAGAGGAAAATTTACATATGTCGTCCTTCACCAATTCCATATAAAGTCAAAATATATTATCACAGAATTGCCTTAAAAGTGTTATGAGGGGGCTGGAGCGATAGCACAGTGGGTAGGGCGCTTGCTTTGCATGCTGCCGACCCGGGTTCGATTCCCAGCATCCCATATGGTCCTCCGAGCACCGCCAGGAGTAATTCCTGAGTGCATAAGCCAGGAGTAACCCCTGTGTATTGCCGGGTGTGACCCAAAAAGCAAAAAAATAAATAAATAAAGCGTTATGACATGTGAGACATGATTATTACCATAACAAGATCCAAGTATTATAAAATTCAGTGTAATATACCTCAGATTCCAGAGCTGAGAATGTATATATGTAAATGAGAACGAGCATTTTTCATATTAAGTGATTTTAATTTTCTTATTTACATAGGTCAAAACCATATAACAATCACTACCTGGCTCTTACTAATTCATTTTCTGATCATTCCATTTGCCACTTCTTAAAGCTTTGTTGGAATAAGCAATATAAAGCAAATCTGTTATGCTTCAAAGCAGTCAAGTTGGGATTGGGAGGGAAACTGGGGATATCGGTGGAAGGAAGGTCACACTGGTAGTGTTGGAACACTAAGTGATTGAAACAACCGTATAAGAAAAAACTTTGTAAGTCACAATATCTTTAATAAAAATTAATTTTTAAATGGAAAAAAATGAATGACTTGAGTTGGATTATGAATTTTTCAACTTTTATAAATTACTTAAATTTCATAACTGGACATTATTTTAACAATGTTATGATTTTCACCTTTTATGTTATTTTAGGTTTATAGTCAGCCATCACAAATTATCAAAAACAGAATCCAAAAAGCAATGATCTAAAATTAACTATCAATTTTCACAAAAAAATTCTGAGGGAAACTGTGTTCATTGAAGTTTAACGAAAACAATTGTATTTACTACTAAAGTATGTAGTACCTTTTATAAATTTCATCAAAGGGGTGGGTTCCTTTACTCTACTTTGAGAAAAAAAATTAAAAATTATCCAAATCTTGTAGCATGAAGTTCACATGATCACATTCATGTACACAAACACCCACTTACCCACTTCCACAAACGATCTGAGTCCACAAAGTAATCAAGCATACTTAATAATGACTGCAAGATCTCTGAAACTGACTTCATGAAGTTTTAAATAATTCTACAGTTAAAAGCACCACTTACCTGTTTAACATATTCAATAAGGTTTGGGATGCAGTTAATTTCAAATCTAAGGTTTCTCAGAGGTTCAAGCCACTTGCCAAGCTCTTAAAGAAAAAGATAGAGTAATTTACATTATTTTAAAATAAATCTTTGTAACAAATACAGGTTTGAAAAGAAATCTTTTCTTTTGAAAAAACATTATCAAACCCATGTTGCTTTCAATAATATAAATTTCCAACAGAGAGGAGCTCATGTTTAAATCTTCAAACTTTAAAGTAAAATGTAGAGCTAAAGAGAGTCCAGCAGATAAGGTGTCTGTCTTACACACAACCGATCTAGTCCAATCCCTTGGATCACATATGATTGATACCCTAGTTCTGGCAGGAATGATCCCTTCGCATAGCGCCATGAGTAAGCACTGAACAAAGGCTGGGTGGGGCTCAATCCCCCAATACAATACAACCAAATAAATGAAAAGTAGAATGAAATATACTTTCTTTACAGCCCTGCCACACTGCTTTAGGGGATCATTCCTGGCAGTGCTTGGTGGACCCCATGCAGTGCCAGAGATCAAACCTGCTCAGCTATGTGCAAGGCAAGTGCCTCAACCCCAGTACTATCCTTGTAGCCTCCAAACTTCTCAAGACTAGTGGTGTGTCACCAAGGGACTGGAGAATGGACAGGCATTTGCCTTGGACATGGCCAACCCAGGTCTGATCCCCAGTACCCATAAGGCCCCCAGAGCCTACCAAGAGTGATCTCAGCATGCAGAGTAAGGAGCAAAGCCTGAATACTGCCAGGCGTGGCCCCAAAAACAAACAAGCAAAAAGCATGATTAAGAAGGGAAAAAAGGGGGCTAGAGCAATAGCACAGCGGGGAGGGCGTTTGCCCTGCGGCCGACCCAGGTTCAATTCCCAGCATCCCATATGGTCCCCCGAGCACCACGAGGAGTAATTCCTGAGTTCAGAGCCAGGAGTAACCCCTGTGCCGGGTGTGACCCCAAAAGCAAAAAAAAAAAAAGAAGGAAAAAAAGGTCATGGGGCTGGAGACACGTGGCAGAAGTGGCAAACATACCATTAACTGTTACTGTCCTCCCGTTGTTCATCGATTTGCTCAAGCGGGCCCAGTAACGTCTCCATTGGAGACTTTGTTGTTACTGTGTCTGGCATATCGAATACGTCACGGGGAGCTTGCCAGGCTCTGCCGTGCGGGCGAGATACTCTCGGTAGCTTTCCGGGCTCTCCGAGAGGGGCGGAGGAATCGAACTTGGGTCGGCCATGTTGGCTGCGTGCAAGGCAAACGCCCTACCGCTGTGCTCTCTCTCCAGCCCATTATCTCTCCATACTATTAACATGTACTGGCATTAGCACGTTACACCCGCATTTCACTCTCACCCTGCACTACCATAGCACTGCCTGGTACAGCCCTACTGGCACTCAGGCCCTGGCCAGGCCCCAAAGCGGCTTCTCTTAGCCCTTGGTTCTATCGCTGGGTTGAGCAGAATGGGAGTCGTCCAGGGCCCAGAGCCCCACATCACTGGGGGTGTCCATACAAGCACTAAAAGAAGAGTAGAGGCCACAAGTTTTTTACAATTATTTACACAATTATTACTCAACGTTCTACTTGGTAAGGTCAAAAAGTCAGAAGCCAAAATTAAATTTAAACTGATTTAAGTATTCTAAGCTTTTCAAAACTGCCCACTTAAAGTCTGCTATAAACTTCTATTTATATAGTTCTGATAAATAATGTTCATAAATCATTCTTGTTCATTAAAATAATTGCAAATGGACTTTTTAGTGAAACAAGATAGTATTATCGATGGAAACTTGGAGAATTCTGGGGAGGGGATAGAGAGAGGACAGAGGGAAGGAGGGAGGGAGAGGAGAGGGTGAAGAGAGAGTCAGGGGTGTGGCAGCAGTGGCAGAGCCCGTGACCTGCGCCCCCCCTCCTGAGTTTGACCCTTTCGCTGTACTTTCTCCCAGCGCAGCAGTAGTGACCACCAGGCATGGCCCTCAATGCAACAGCAGAAACAAGCACGCAAACAACAATGAAAAATGAACCGCGTGTATCTCCAAAGTTCTGCTTCTGTGTTAATTTACAAACTTCAACAGCAAATTTTCATGACTTCCCAGAAAAAAAGTACCACCAATGATTTCCTTAAAGATATTTGAAAGAACACAGGCCAAGGACGGTTAGAGGGGCCAAGGCACCAGGTCAACGCTAGTGACCAGCCGCTTCCCGCCTCCCCCACCATATACACTAGAAAAATATCTTCAGAAAAACACACTTTCAGGAGGCTAAAAACAGAATATTACTAAGTACAACATCATCGAAACATACTAAAGCAAAATCAGAGATATTCAAGGCCTTTTTTCTTCCACATACATAAATGTGACGGCTTAAAATAACCCCAAGCCCCCTACCTTGCAACTTGGCATTATTTTCATCTGCTTTACAAAGCTTCAAGAGAGAAGCCGCGTGCTGCTCCAGCATTTGCACGTCGCTGGAAGACTGAACCACCACCAGAATAAGGATGCATGCGTAATTATATGCTACTGACTTCTTAGACTTGGAATCACTGAAACAGAAGAAAGTTTCACACTTCTTGGTCTGAATACAGTACTTTAGAAACAATTTGAACATTTTTCCACTTTTCTCATTTTAATGATAAAGAAAATTTACAGTTCAGATTTCCACCTCCAACTCACTCAAAAACATCTAAAAGTTTTTTTGTTTTTTGGGGGGGGGGTTGTGTTTATTTGGGTCACACCCAGCAATGCTCAGGGGTACTCCTGTTTCTACACTCAGGAGTAACTCCTGGTGGTGCTTGGGGGACCATATGAGATGTCAGGGATTGAACCCAGGTCAGCCGCTTGCAAGGCAAAAGCCCTACCTGCTGTACTATCACTCCAGCCCCATAAAAGGGTTTTTTTTAAAGCACAAGAATTATAATGGAAAGTGAAGTTCTATTAAGAACTTAGTCCTATTAAGGGTCAGAACAATGAATAAGTTATTCATTGAAGATTAGAAATTATGTTTCTTGGGTCTCCTTTAAAATATGTCTACTCTGCATCAATAACAATAAATATGATGGATCAACTATCATCATCAATCTTCACAAGAGTTACAAAAATATAGCTGGACAAAGAAATCAATGCTGTCTGTAGGCTTACGAACATACCCAATTTAATGCCTCACTCAATGAGTCCTATTGGGACCTTGTGAGCCCAGCGAACTAGATGCAAGAAGAGTAGCACTGTCCTCCCTTTGTTCATCGATTTGCTCGAGTGGGTATCAGTAAAGTCTCACAACAAATTGTGAGACTTGTTACTGTGTTTGGCATATCGAATACGTCACGGGTAGCTTGCCAGGCTTTGCCTTGCGGGCGAGATACTCTCAGTAGCTTGCCGGGCTCTCAGAGGGGCGGAGGAATTGAACCCAGGTCTGCCGCGTGCAAGGCAAATGCCCCATCCACTGTGCTATCTCCCAGCCCGCAAGAGTATTACTTCTTAAATACTCAACGCCTCCTGCCCTACTGGGCGTGCTCTTCAAAACACCTCCCCTCCCCACCCTTACCAGTCAAAAGTACTTCTGAAACCAGAGGAGCAGTTAAAAGTTTAGAAGGCAGGGCTGGAGCGGTAGCACAGCAGGTAGGGCATTTGCCTTGCACCTGGTCAACCTGGGTTCAATTCCCAGTATCCCATATGGTCCCCTGAGCACCGCCAGGAGTAATTCCAAATGCAGAGCCAGAAGTAATCCCTGAGCATCGCCGGGTGTGACTCAAAAATCCAAAAAATAAAGCTTAGGAGTCAAGGTTTTAAGTTAGCAAAGTAGTTACTATTACTCTTAGGTATAAACTCCTATGCTTTCAGATTCCCCCACACAAAACTAGAGAGTACCACAGCTGTGATCACCAGTTGACAGGAAAAGTGGTAAAAAAAAAATTCTAACAGATCCAATTATATAGTCAAGCTCACATTTTACAGATTTCCTACATTCTAGTCCAACCATGCATACGTTCAATAATGAGTTTTTACTCTCAAAATCCTGTGTTCTTTTGAATAAACTAGTCCATCAGTGCAGTTCACTGAAAATAACAGAAAATTTAAGGAGTAGCAGAAAATTACCCTAAGGCTTCTTTGGAATAGTACTCCATTAAAGTAATAAGGCTCTGGAGATTTTTCTCAAGACTGAAAACATGGCCGACTGCCGATCTCCCCACGGGATTGAAAGTAATCAAATACAGATTGTGAAGGGTTCCCAAGAGATCCGAGTGGTCTGTCTCCTCCCTGGCTGTACAGCGCTGGAAGTGACTGAACAGTTCTGTGATGCACTGCAGCGTCTGCGTGGAGTCCTGGAGCCACAAGGCAAAGGCGTCGTCGATGACGCCATCGGACTGAAGGCCTTCCTCTTCATCTTGATCATAAAGGTGACAGAGGGCGCGAATCAACAAATTTGTGGCTTCGTATTCTGACATGAAAAAAAGAAGACCCTTCTGTGACTGCGCAAGGAACTTTAAAACGTCTTTCGTGGCCTGCAGCACACCCGGGTGGGCACTTGTGACTGGGATCGAGAGAAGCAAGGTGACCAACTCCAAGAAGTGATGGCTGTGAAGATACCTGGCGAAAAAGCACGAAGCGGCACACACTACGTCAGGGCAAGAACATTCACGCACTCCATTTCAGTATTTAAGAGGCAGAATTCTAACGAAGGATCCAAATCCTCAGCTACGTATGACTTCAACAAACACAGGGCGACAAACAAATCCGCTCTACTGAACCTTCTGAGGGTGAGTGCTATGATTTTCTGCTATCATCCAATAAATTTTCGATCGATAACCACTGATAAAAATTTTCTTTCCAGAATCAACCTTGACTTTAAATTCAAACAAAAATCAACCAAATTTTATAGAAAAAGAAAGAACAAAATAGCATTTTTTCAAAATTCAAAAATAAGAAAAAAAAATCTCAAAACAGCTCTTAAAAACAAAAAAGACAGATTCAGTGTAAACTTAATTTTGAGCTAAGAAAAAATAGTTTCCTGCCATAAATAATAAAGATGACTCCAAAGAGCTCACTGGGGGCCGGAAAGAGGGCGAAGGGTACGCGCACGCCACGCGGGGGCTGCAACAGGATACTCGCTCCAGGCGCCACCGAGCACTGAGCCAGGCCCCCAACAAAGACTCGTGTCCTTCATCTTTTTAGTCACAGCAAGTGAGAATACACAAGTCTCTGCAGACTTCCTGAAACATTACTAATTGTTTGTACTTGTTTGTTCTGTTTCTGGGTCACACCCCGTGGTGCTCAGGGCTTCCTCCTGGCTCTGCACTCAGGGATCACTCCAGGCAAGGCTCAGGGGACCAGATGGGGTGCTGAAGATCAAACTGGCACAGTCACATACAAGTGCCCTACCAGCTATACTGCAGTCCCATTAATTTCTGTTTGGGGGCCACACTACGCTGTACTACGTGCTTGCTCCTGGGTATGAAACCGCATAGCAGAAAACTGTCGGGGCTGGAGCGATAGCACAGCAGGTAGGGCATCTGCCTTGCTCACGACCAACCCATGTTCGATTCCCGGCACCCCATATGATCCCCGAGCACCACCAGGGGTAATTCGTGAGTGCAGAGCCAGGAGTAACCCCTGAGCATCGCCAGGTGTGACCCAAAAAAGCAAAAGCAAAAGAAAAAGAAAACTGTCTCTTTAAGAGCTAGAGCGGTAGTATAGCAGGGAAGGTGCTGGGGGATTCGGGACCATTTATGGTGTCATGTACTGAGATTAACGATGTGCAAAGAAAAGAGCCTTATCCTCTTTACTCTCTCTAGCCCCAGCACTGACTACTATGCTTTAAGCATCTTAGGGAGAATCGACAAAAGGCAAACGGGGGGGGGGGGGGGGGGGGGTCTGAAGCTGTTAATTAATCTCTGAGAGAGGCTGTTTCTTTACTAGCATCTGGGCACTGGGATTCCAGCAGTGGGCTGTCCCCTCAACTGGAAGACTGCTCAGTATCCCGTGGAGAGAAATACGGCTCAACTGTAAGATGCTCACTGTAGATTTTTCAGCAAATACGGCTCATGCTCTTTACCTGCATTCCTCCAGGAGCTCAGAATCTCAGTCCGAATCCAGTACTGGGTGCTTATGGGCTCCACCCCAACAATCTGGGGTCCTGACATTCTAATGAACTTCCCCAGCAGCCAATTTCACACGCTATAACGGTCCGTAGCTGGGGGTTAATTAAGCACATCCTGTCACTCAAAGGAGACTCTGAAAACTCAGAACTGGTTTCTCCAAACTTTGCCCCATGTCACTTTTCTCACTGCTATTTGCTCCCAAGCGTTGGCTATCTGACTTGCAGTTATGACTACAACACTAAGGGTACTATGGGTTCTCCTAGGAAATCTTACGGTCACGTCATCTAACACAGGATATTTAACCTTGCTCTCCTTTCAAATAAGTTCTTTTGCAGAACAACTCCTTTTGTCTCAGGAATCAGAAGGTTTGACTTCCTTTCCCACACGGTCCCCTAAGAGTGAATGAGTGCAGCACTAGAACCCCCAGCTCCGTCAGGATGACCCACGTAAACCAGCACTGTGGGCCCCGAGCAGCCCTGTCTCCTTGGGTCCGCGCATGAATCAGTGTCATGCTGGGCCAGGAACTTCTTATGCATCACTTGGGAATCCCTCCCCCAAATAACCTTTCACTCTTCTGCCAATAAAACCACAGTTCCAAGTAGTTACCACCTGAGCTAAAATCTCAAAAACATGCTGAGTGCCACCTCACTACCTCTTATAACTACTAGCCTCCTGTTACCAAGCCCGAGTTAAGTGCTCTTTCGTAAACTCAACATAAGATTTTCCACTACCTTTAAATGCCACGTCAGGTCAAGTACTTAACAGAAGGACCTACATCTCCACACCAGCTGATCTACTCACTAACTTCCAATTTTATCCCACTGCACATACAAACTTAGAATACTACTTTGACCGTATCACATATGCAACTCCAAAAAATTCAAGAGCTTCCTAGATCCTAAAAACAAAATCCAGGGGCTAGGAGGTAGGTCGTATGCAATTCCTGGCATGGCTTCGCCAGAAGAGCCACGTGATGTAGGCCAGGGGTTCCAGGGCATTACCTGTGAGGAAGTGTCACCAGAGGGGCGAGATGCTTCTCCTCCCCGCCCCCCGCCCCACACCCCACCCCCTGACACCTTCTACCCCCTGGCAGCACAGCTGGTGGAGAGAGCCCTCCAATTTTTCTGCCTAAATACAGTTCACCACCATCTCTCTCAGTTCCCCAGTCTCCCCAATATCTCCTTAGAAACATTAAGTCTCCTCACGTACTCATTCTGACAGGTAAAAAACAAAATCGGCCGGATGAAATCGCCACCGTGCAACCTATTCCCCGAGACTAAACATGCCTTACCGAAAGAGAACAGGATACGGGTCGTCCCGCTCTGGAGGTCCCGTAATACGTGCCATGGTGGGGAATGACTTGACAGGAGGCTGGACCATTGTGTGAGGGGCGGTTTCCATCAAATGGAAGACCTCCTCTAGGAGGTTGATAAGCTTTTCTATTTCCCCTTCACTTATGTTGGAGGATTCCATCAGATCCATGTCCATGGACGTCTCGACCTCGTTTTCATACTCCGGGTTGGTTCTCTCCAGTCCGGCGTCCGTGTCGTGCTCCGGGTCAGTGTGGTTCGGAACAGAAGACGTCTTCTCTGCCAAGTGGTCGCCCAGTCTTTTAATCTCGGACAAGATTTCATAGAAATGGCACTTCTGCAGGATGGCTGAGCCAGCAGTGACAACCCTCACAGTCTGATCTAGAAGGATGAGCTCCAGGAGCTTCTGGTAGCCACTTTTTTCACCCGGCCTACCTCTTAAAAACGCTTCCATTCCTTCCGTCATACTGATGACGCTGTCCAAAGCTTTAAAAGCATTTAATTTAAGGGAAGAGGAGACATGATCAGCAAACAGGAGCTCGAATAACCCATTGATCACTCCTGCTTGAAGCAGTTCCACGACACCCTGCGCCCCACATTCCGCTAGCGAGGACACTAGTTTGGTCCCAGCTTTGAGCTGCCGGACATTTAAGGCAATGGGCTGGCGAAGGGCTACTTGTAAATTCAACGCTTGCATGGTCCAGTCTACCAACTGGCAGAGGGAGTCTTGCTTTGTATTCTTCAGCTGCAAATAACTTAGTCCCTTTATTATCAAACTTGGGATTTCTTCTAAAGCAGTCACCCATTTTGCACCTCTATCTTCTTGATACAAATCCAACAGTTCCGTTAACTTCACTGAGGCTTCTACTGCCCCAGAATTTTCTTTATCTGGACCTTGATCCTTCATTCTACTCAGTTCAATTTCGAAAGTAGTCTTATATGGACAGCTGAAGTATAGGAGTGGTACGAGTTCCCTGTCATACGGGTCATACGTCATCGGAGGGACTGAAGCCAAGTCTTCAGCGGTGTATTCGACGTCAAAGTTCGGATACTTAAAGGTTTCGCGTTCCAAGTCTGCAATTCCATCTTCATCACTGGAAATCTGTTCATAACCATCATCCCCTGGAAATCGGTATGAACAGATACATATTACTCCACTGTTTAAAACAAGAATAATGTAAAAGTACATTTAATATGGCAAATAATGAAAATCAAGGATTTTCTCAACAAAACTGAATTGTGACATCTTACCAATGACTGCCAATACTTAATAATTCTGGAGAACTACAGCTAAACTTCACAAGACAATTATTGTATCAATCACTACTTACGTCTGACAGTTGAACGGGGGTGGGGGTGCAGGAAGAGACCCCACACACGCCTGGCCAGGCACTCAGGGGTCACTGCTAGAGGGGCTGAGGGGACTGTATGTAGTGTAGGGACTGGACTAGGTCAGCCATGTGAGAGCAAGCATCATGTCCCCCGTAGTATCTCTCATGTAAACAGAACTAGAATGCCTCAAGAGAACAAAATCACTTTTCAGGAGAGGCATCCCATCTGGAGCTATTCCGAGGGATGCTTGGGGGGCTGTGGCTTTGAGTCAACTCCCTAGGCACCCCACCCCCACGCCCATCCCATTCCCACCCATCCTTTTTTTAGAATGAAAAAACCTGAACTATTTATCAAAAAGGTTCAGAGAAATTATCTATTTTTGCATTTTTTTTTATGGTACCGGGAACTGAACTCTGGTCTCACGCATACAAGACGTGAACCTTACTATTGAGCCACATATCTTCAGCTGCAGGAGAAAACGAAACGAAGGGCCAGAGAGAGTAGCAGAGGTCAGGGCTCCTGCCTTGCATATGGCTGATCCCAGTTCAATCCCTGGCACCACATATGCTCCCTGGAGCACTGCGAGGAGTAAAGTAAAGGCGCTCCCGTTGATCATCGATTTGCTCGAGCAGGCCCAGTAACGTCTCCATTGGAGACTTTGTTGTTACTGTGTTTGGCATATCGAATACGTCACGGGGAGCTTGCCAGGCTCTGCCGTGCGGGCGAGATACTCTCGGTAGCTTGCCGGGCTCTCCGAGAGAGGCAGAGGAATCGAACTCGGGTCGGCCATGTTGGCTGAGTGCAAGGCAAACGCCCTACCGCTATGCTATCGTATCCCCTGAATATAGAGCCAGGAGTAAGTACCGAGCACTGCCGGGTGTGGCCCCAATACATCTCACTCCCTCCAAGAAAGGCATCAAGCTAGTCTTCTCGACAGGATATATATACATGTGGCTGTCCTCGTGGTGCTGGGGCCGCGGGCCACTGGATGGTACTAGCCTGGTAGTTGGGGCACAATAGGTTGTGTGACCTCCTGACTCTTGAGAAGGTAGTGGAGGGGTAAAGGCGGATGTCTAGCAAGCTCAGCCCATCTCTGGTACCACAGTCTGATAGCAGTGCCCGGTGTGGCCCCAGAGGCTCTCGAGGTGGCCTGGGTGGTCCCAGTACGGCAATACTTTCAGGCCCAATCGTATAATCATTCGGCCTGGAAGCGGCATCAGAAAGGCCCCCAACGCCCCCTGAGAACTGCTGGAAACCCTCCTCACTGGGCCCCAAAACCTATGGTAGAAATAATTAATTGCTCTCTCCAGGGCCCAAGAACATATTCTAAGATTAAAAAAAAAAAAAACTGATGGCCAAAAATTAAAGTGTCAAATTAGTACCACAAATACAAAGCTATCTCCAATATTTAACTAGTCTTTCTAGATTCTTTTCAAAATTTAATTTAATGGTCCAATATTCTGCTACAATTATCTATTATTTCTTTTCTTCCTTCTTTTTGTTTGCTGGGGGAGGTAGCGTCACACCCGGCATTGCTCAAGGCTTGGTCTTGACTCTGCAACCAGGGATACTTCTGGAGAGGAGAGGCCTGTGTGACCACATGGTGCCAAGGACCAAACACAGGTTGGCGATGTGCCAGGCAAGCACACCACCCACTGCACTACCCTCAGGTCCTTGGGTGTGCATTTCTATGGAAAACTTGTTCACTAAAATGCTCAGTTTTTCGTAAAACAAAGCTGTCTTGATTTATGCAGCTTTTCCCTTTCCTTTAAATAATACACACAGGTTAGAAAACTTGTTTTGCTCGTGACACTAATATTACCTGGCTGGAGAGAAACGGGCAATAATAACTAAGGGAAAACAATGTTTCAGAGCATTATATCGACATCATCCCTTTTCTGATATTCTTTCATTCAAAACCGTTCAGTCTTACCAGTATCATACTTCAGTTTAAGGGACTACAGAGGCCTGATGTTGAAACAGTTATAAGTCATCTATAAAAAAATCACACAGGGGCTGGAGCTATAGCACAGTGGGTAGGGTGTTTGCCTTGCACACAGCCGACCCTGGTTCGATTCCCAGCATCCCATATGGTCCCCCGAGCACCGCCAGGAGTAATTCCTAAATGCATGAGCCAAGAGTAACCCCTGTGCATCACCAGGTGTGATCCAAAAATCAAAAAAAGGGAAAAAAAAGAAAAAAAATCATACAGCCCCCAGGACCAGGAGGACCAGCCCTCAGAGACAGGAGTAAACCAAGCCACCTCAAGTCATGGAAACACGGCTCTCGGGCTGAAATCCCCAGGACACCGTTGGGCAGGGCACGGCACCCACAACCAACTACTCCCGCTCCACCAGTTGCCCCAGCCCACAACTCATCTCCAAAGACACCCAAATCCCAGGTATCCCAGTGTTTAGACTGTGACCTCTGGAAACTACTTGAACTCAGGTGCAGGTAGCCTCCTCCCACGCACTCAACTTCTGGTTTCCCAGCAGCCACACCCTCCGCCTCCCAGAGCCACCATGTGGCCCCATCAGTCAGTTCTATGGATCCTCAAGTTCTGGACCCCCAAATCCACAATGCCGACACTCCTGTAGGAGCACACCTAATTGGATGGGAAAGTCACAGAGAAGCCAACTCTGCCCCACAAACACAAGGACACAGAAGGCTCAGCTAGCAACCACCAGCTGAGTAAATCCTCACATGAGGACTCAGCCAACCTAATGCTGAGAACAAGTCCCTGTGACTCTGAAATGACCCTCACATTCATGCTGAGTGACCCTCCTTCTCAATATTTTAGGAAAAACATAATATCACTTCGTAGAAATGCTTCAATCTTACATACCATTCCTTGGCACATTAAAGAGTTATAGTTTAACTCTCACTTTTTTTTTTTTAAAGAAAAAAATAAAGCTAGACTACTTCAAACTGTTACATATTACTGTAAGAATTCCTCCCCCACCTTGAATTTCTGCAATAATGTGGTATTTACCAAAGTATCCGGGAAACAGGCTTTAGGAATTCCACCCCAATTACACCACCACCACACCTTACAATGAAAAAAACCTCACCAAATCCCTATTATCATGTATTCACTGCATGACCTGCTTCCCTGGACAAAGCCAACGGTGTCAAGAGGCAACTGATAAAAATTATAAGCCGCCAGTGGCCCTTCCAGGACACTGGATACGGAAATGAAAATTCATCTAAAGCAGTTCAGGATGACTGGCTAAAAAGATGTAAACCTGTGGAGTGAGTACAACCATTAGCTGATATAAAATAATTCCACTTCTGGTGGAAATTCCACTCCTGGTCAGATCTTGAGGCCCAGATACATTCTGAACCTTGAGCATGTTTTTCCTCTAAATTCCTTACACTGCTTACGCTTCATCAAGTTAGCCCCCAGTGATTAAATCGAAAACTGAAAATCAAAACCAAATCTCCAAATAACCAACCTTCACCTTCTTCATCCTCTTCGCCTTCTTCCTCTTCATCATCTTCCTCCTCCTCAGGGATACTGTCTACTGTATGTCGGTCATCCTCGTCCTCATCCTCCTCTTCCTCTACATCCACATCATCTTCATCATCTTCCCCTTCCTCCTGCTGCTCCTCTTCTACCTCCCCTTCATCGGAATACTGACCTTCCTGAGGAACAGAATTCCGATCGGGAGAGATGGGCTCAAAGTAATCTTCTCTATGAGGAGCATCCTCTTCCTTGTCACCAGACACTGAGAGAGAAGGAGACGTGAGGCACAGGTTATTTTAGGGCTTAGACAATGGAAAGGAGCAGGAATCGACATTACTAAATTCCATTTATTGGTTTGTTTTTGGCTTTTTAGGTCTCATCCTGCGATGCTCAGGGCTTATTCTGGCTCTGCACTCAGGAATCACTCCTGGTGGTGCTCAGGGGACCATTTGGGATGACGGGCATCGAAGCTGGCCCAGCCACATGCAAAGCAAACCGGCTGTACATCACTCCTGGCCCCCTAAATGATAGTTTAAAGACTCTTGTCATTGTAATGAAAATATAAATATCATTTTCACACTGTCACTGTCCTCTCGTTGTTCATCGATTTTCTCAAGCGGGCCCAGTAACGTCTCCATTGTGAGACTTTGTTGTTACTGTGTTTGGCATATCGAATATATAATGGGTAGCTTGCCAGGCTTGGCCGTGCGGGCAAGATGCTCTCTGTAGCTTGCCGGGCTCTCCGAGAGGGGCAGAGGAATCGGACTTGAATCCGGGTCGGCCACGTGCAAGGCAAACACCCTAGCTGCTGTGCTATCGCTCCAGCCCCAATTTTATACTTTTTAAAATATCATTTTAAAGTATCATTTAAAAAGTATAAAATTGGGGCTGGAGCGATAGCACTGCGGCTAGGGAGTTTGCCTTGCATGCGGCCAACCTGGGTTCAATTCCCAGCATCCCATATGATCCCCTGAGCACTGCCAGGAGTAATTCCTGAATGCATGAGCCAGGAGTAAGCCCTGTGCATCACCAGGTGTGACCCAAAAAGCAAAAAAATAAATAAATAAAAAGTATAAAATTGACTAAAATCTCTAGGCTTTCACAGAGTCGGGGATGATCTACTTCTCCCCATATCTCTTTACTTCCAGAAGTCCTGGAAGTCATGCAAACACCGCAAATCTGGGATCCAGTTAAAAATTTAACTTAGCTGCATCACCCTGTTAAAAATCTTGGACCTTCTGGAACATTCGCAGCTGCATGACAGCTCAAACTCTACAACACTGATAAGCCAGACTGGATAGGATGTAACATAGAAGGAAACCAATCTCCATTGGCAAAATATCAACTCAGAAGGCTGAACCCGTAACATCTTAATAATCTCTTTTACAAGGGCGTAATCGTTCCATGGTGAGATACACAATATTCACTTACGTTCTTCTAAGGAAATACTTTTTGATCCTTGTTTTAGCAAATTATAACGAGCAATAGAAAATTATTGAGGGCCTGCTATGGGGGCAGGCTTAAAGGCTGGTTGGGAAAACTGGAGATAAGGGTGGTGGGAAGGTGCCATGGTGGTGGGACTGGCGTCGGTACACTGAATGTCTGCAACGAATCATCACAAACAACTTTGTAAACCACAGTCTTTATATAAAGTGTAAGGGGAAAATAAAACTGAAGAAAAATCTTAAAATAAAGCAAAGGCCCTAAACAAAGGAAGAGTGTATGATCACGTACTTTGAAGAAAATACTGATATATAAGTTTATACAATGAGAATAAAGTATACTAGCTCCCTTACGGTGTTTCACTAAGAAAAATTTGAAAGAAAAAGTGTACTAGCTCTTGTCCTAATATGGACGAATCCTTCTCAGCAACCATATAAGCATCTCCTTTATTACCTTTTATCGTAATATCCTCTGGAGCCTCCCAAGCACTCCTGGAGGTGCAGGGCACTCCCCGGAACACACGGCTCTAGGCTCTGTGGGCCCCAATCCTTGGTGCTCGGGCTGAGTGAGGCAGCGCTGTATGGGCCTGTCCATGCTGGTAGCCCGCAGGGCCACAGCTGGCAGAGGCTGCAGGAACCATGAGGCCCCGGGGTTAAACTCAGAGCACTCCACTCGGGGATGCTTCCAGCCCTAAGTCAGCTCCCCAGCCAGTAATACTGCTTCTCTTTAGTTCTTTATCTTGTTTTAGGGGCTAAATCTGCTGATGCCCTAGTTTCTGTGCTCAAGGACCACTCCAGGCAGTGCTCAGGGGGACTGACTATGTGTGGAACCGGGGACTAACCCCCAGTTAGCTGCATGCAGTACAAGCAACTTCCCCACTGCCCTATCTCTCTGGTCCCCTGCTTTATTAAAAGCAATTTTTTTGTTGTTTTTTGGGCCACCCTTGGGGCTGCTCAGGGTTACCCCTGGCTCTGCACTCAGGAATCACTCCTGGTGGGGCTCAGGGGCCGCAAGGATCAAACCGAAGTCTGTGGGGTGCAAGGCAAGCGCCCTGCGTGCTGTGTATGACTGCAGCTCCAGAGCCCTGCTCTTCTTCTCTCCTCTCCATCCCTCCCTTCCCTCTGATCCTTTGTTCTTTCTCCTTCCTTCTTTACTGCCCTCCCTCGGTCCCTCCCTTTTCTTTGGACGCACTGCTGGCAGTGCTTTGGGCGTACTCGTACTTCTCTGCTCAGGGATCATTCCCGGCAGTGCTCAGGGTCCATATGTGGTGCACGGGATTGGCCCAAGAATGGCTCCACGCAAGGCAAGCGTCTTAACCCCTGTACTGCCTCGCCTCCTCTTTATTGCTTATTAGAAACATTTATTAAAGCAATAGGCAATAGAAAATAACTATTACTACATACACTGGTCTGTAACATTAGAAAGGTTGCAGGTACAAATCATTACAAACCAATATTTTTTAAAACTACATTAAATTCATCATTAAATTCTTAATTCAACCCTCACCATAAAATGGAACCGTTCTGTCAAATTTACACATCCTTTCCCTTCTGGTAACCATTAGCTGGTCTTCTAGTCTAAATGCTTATGTACTTTGTTCACTTGTCTTGTCTCTGTGGACAAAGCTTCATTTTCTAAGCAACGCACATTTCAAATTGCACACACAAGCAAGGACGGGGTGACAGAGCGGCAGCCATCAACATCTGACCATCTGCCTCTTTTTTCCCTTCATCGAAAAGCACTAATTAAAAACAGCTTTCATCAAAAAGCACTAACATGGGACAGGTATTAAAAACAGCAAGATTTTACTCGGACCTGGCAAGGGCACTGGATCATCCTCATCATCATCAGGCGGAGGGGGGCCCGGAGGAGTTCGTGGTCCCCTGGGCTGAGGCCTTGGAGGGCTCCCATTAAACTGATCTTCCTTTTCTCCATCAGCTAGAGTTTTATGAGAGACAGAAAAAGAATTTTCAAATATGAAAGCATGTGAGATGACTGTATGAGAAAAGTTCTGTTTGTCTTTTGAGAATATTATCTTTAGAATTTTGTTTTCCTTCCTGATGTCAAACAAATTTTGCTAATTAACTTATAGTAGGACAATTAGACTTCCAGGTTTCTTATGTATCAAAGAATACATACATCCCTGAGCATTATCCAAGAGAAAAATTTCCTTGTTTGCCATACAATCACCTGAAGCTATCAAAGTGTCCTTTAATGTTTAAATGTTTAAATTATGATACATTTATATTATGCAAAACTAGCAATAATAAATACCTATTACTACATACAACATAGGGGATACACCTCAAAGAAATTATTCTGAAAGTAACCAGTCTCAAAGACACCAACTGCATAATCCCATTTATGTAATATTCATGGAATAATGTAATTACACAGATAATAGGTTATTGGTCACCAAAGATCAGGGATGAGTGGGAATTTATTAACTGCAATTTCGGGGGGGGTTGAGCCCTACTTGGCTCAGTGATGACTCCTGGTGCCCCTGGGGCCCCATACACGGTACCTGGAGAATGAACTCAGGTCAGCAATATGCAAAGTGAGTGCCTTACCTGCTGTACTATCTCTCTGGCCCCAAAAGTCAACTTTAATTTGCCACAAACTTTGAGTAGTCAATGCCATACATTAAAAATTACAGGGGCTGGAGTGGTAGCACAGCGGGTAGGGCGTTTGCCTTGCATGCAGCTGACCCAGGTTCGATTCCCAGCAACCCATATGGTCCACTAAGCACCGCCAGGAGTAATTACTAAGTGCACACCAGAGTCACCCCTGTCTACTGCTGGATGTGACCCAAAAAGAAAAAAAAAAGAAACATTAAAAAAAAATTACAGATATGTCTGAGAAAAACACTACAATAAGTGTGAACACATAGTGTGTGAGCATCAGACATAAAGTGCTGATATAACACCATTACCGCAGCAATCTTATGTCTGGGCGTCATAAAGAGCTTCCTGCAAGGCAGACATTCTTCCCTTGTGACGTCAGTTACAAACTGAAATGTATTCCTCCTGTGCACCCAGAAGAGGATGCGCTGATACCACAGCTCTTCTGTCAACCTAACCTCGCTCCCACAGCTCACAGTGAGTAATACTGGAAGCAGAAAAGATCCCGCGAAACAAGAACAATGCCTTGTAGCGCAGTTACGGAAGTTTTCTGGAGGCCTCTGTCTTCTCTCTCACTTCCCTGCTGCTGTTCCTGCAATGACAGGACACCTAACCTGCTTTGTCCTGGGGTGCTGGCACTGGGAATCCCAAAGAGCAAAGCAACAGAGTCGCACAAGGGCAGAGGTGCACCTGGGATCACATTCATGGCCTCACCAGTCTCAAACCTGAAAAGCGGGTGCTCTGCCCCTAAGCTCTCTTGGGAGCCTCCTCCCCCCGAGAGATTTTCTTCTCTTAGTCAAGAATTGTCAAAACCGGGGAAAACAGCATTAAGATTTACGCATCTAAACAAATTTGAAACGCGCTACTGAAAAAAATTCTAGCAACAAAAGTGTTCCATGAACACATAAATTTACTTCAAGTAAATCTAAATAAATACAAATTTATCTTCCAGTCTTTTTTAGAAATGTGATAATTAAAGAATAAGTAAAAGAATACATTATAATTTACACACTTAAGTGGGAAGAGATCCTGATGTCAAAAAAGCACTCTATGGAAGCAGAGGAAGAAAATAAAATGCAAATAGTTTAACATTAAAAAACTTGAATCAAGGAATTTGGAGACTGACAGATATCAATCAACTTCAAAAAGCTGAGAACTTACTAGAGTAGCCTTTTCCTTTATAACGGATATTGACTGCAGCTGCCAAGGTAAATTTTACATTCTCACCATGTTTTGGATTCCTTTTCAAACTTGTCTGCGGCTGCGGAGGTGGAGGAGGCGGAGGAGGTGGGGGCGGAGAGTCTCTGTCATGACTGATCACTCGATCCACCGATCCATATATTGCCAGCGTCAGACAGTTATACCAGCCTCTTAGGACCAAACCATCGGTATTCACCTAATTTGTTGGGGGAAAAATATTTGTCATGTTCGCATTTTAATATGCCACCTGTAAATCACTCGATGGGCCAATTAATGTCTTTTAGAAGCATGCTGAAAATGCAAGACCAGTATTGGTGGAAATTCACCCAGAGGGAGTTTTTACACGGCTCTCCAGAGTTACCATGCCTAATTAAAACCCATTTTAATTAAGGCATAGTGGTGCCTAATAAAATTGACCTATCATCTTCTGAACTTGCTCACCTACCTGAAGAAAGGGAAAAGCACAAAGGTTGGTCTCTTCCTGGCTCACATGTAAAATTCGAAGCAGTGTTTCACAGATACAGAATGACCTTACAATACCTTTGTTGAATTTTATAACTGCTTCTAGATACAGAGAAATCGGACAACAAGTGACGATATTCTGCAGCAGTAGACAAGCTGACATTTGACATCACTGGCTTATTTGGGTCAAAAACTCTTGAAGTGAAAACACCAAAAGATTTAAAAAAGGATGCGCACAATTACCTTTGAGTTGGGTCGAAAGATGATGGAAGTGTTCTCATCATATTCCAAGCTGCCAAGAGTAGAAAAAGGTAGACTGGAATAATATGGTCACAGATCATGTATTCATGTATTTTTGTAAAATATTCCATTTCTGTCTTGGTTTAGTAAACTACAAAACTGAGGATTAAGTTACTACCCACCCAGAATTTTCTCAAGAAGCAGCATGAACTGCAGTTCGTAGGGGCTGGAGCCAGACTCCTGTCAAGACACTGGCTAGTCCAAGGCGGAACGGCGTCTGCCACCCAGCACACATCAAGTTCCCTGAGCCCTGCAGGAATGACCGACCCTGCACAAAGCACCGGGAGGAAGCCCTAGTTCCGCTACATGCAGCCCCAAAACAAAACAAAGGGAAAAAAAGAACAGGAACAACAACAGAAACATGAAGTTTCTAGAGATTCTGATTTGACTGGCCCAGGATAAGTATAGATATAAGTACTGTTTTTAAAAAGCATCCCAGGTAATTTTATTACCTAAGGTATAGAACCATTATACAGTCTTCAAAAAATATATTCTGAACCAAAATAAAATCACTTATTTTTTGCCCCTTTTTAATTGAAAAACCGATTATCAACAGTTTCATTTTTTCATTTCATCATCCTGTTATTCGTCGATTGCCTCGAGCAGGCCCCAGTAACGTCTCTTTCATCCTAGCCCTGAGATTATATTCAAGGCTGTTTAGGAGAGTGAGACCCATCAATGTTACTGGTATTTGGCATATTTGGTACGCCACGGGGAGTTTGCCAGACTCTGCCCTGTGGGCAGGCTACATTCGATAGCCTGCAAGTTTGTCCGCGCCTGGGTGTTCCTTCCCGGAGTCCCTTGGAGGGGAGCGGGTTGAGCTTTCCTCCCCGCCCCGACCAGGGCTACGGCAGCCGAAGACCTCCAGGACCAGCCACCACCATGCTGAGACCACTCTCCGCACACATGAAGGTACTGGCAGAGGGACAAAGCCACGCGGGTTCCGGGGCCGAGACCTCCAAGCCTACTCGAATTGGAGTCGAGCATCTTCCACCCAGATCCTCCAAATTCCAGTAGGCGGGGGTCACACCCACCACCTGGCCCCCTGGCGCCGTGTAATCCCATCAGCGGCCAAGACTCAGAGACTATAAAATCCAGATCCTGGAACCGCGCGGCCGCAAATGCGGCCGCGCAACATCTTAACAGAACTTTTTTTTATGACATCTTATTGTCTTATTTCTACTTTGGACAAACTTGCAGGCTATCAACAGTTTAATATAAAAAAAAGTCAAGAATTAACAACATAAGCAAAGTCTAAAGAGTTACGAATTCATGCTGGGATTGAAATTTTTCAATTTTAAGCTGATATATATAGTTTTTTGCTTTAGGACCAGGGGTCTAAAGCAGTTCTCAAGGGCCACTCCTGGCTACGTGCTCAGGTATCACAACCTGGAGATGCTCAGGGACCACGTCACAAAATGATCTAAGAAATGGAATGTGGGCCTCCAGCATACAAATCCTGCTTTCTGCTGTCGGGCTCTCTCCCCAACCCTCTTGCCCTTAAATTGTCTGTCTTCTGTTTGGGGGTCACACCCAGGGTGTTCAGGGCTTACTTCTGGCTCTATATTCAGGGTCACTTCTGGAAGGGCTCAGGGGACCATATGGGGTACAGGAGATCAAACCTAAGTCAGCAGTGTGTAAGGCCAACACCACATCCATTTTACTATTGTTCTGACCCCAAATTTTTGTGCTTTTAAGAAAACTTAGCTGAGCTGGAGCGATAGCACAGCAGGGAGGGTATTTGCCTTGCCCGTGGGCAACCTGGGTTTGGCCCCAGCATCCCATATGGTCCCCCAAGCAGCACAAGGAGTAATTCCTGTGTGCAGGGCCAGGAGTAAACCCTGAGCATCGCCAGGTGTGACCCAAAAAGCCAAAAAAGAAAAACAAAAAACTTATCTAACAAAATCTGACTGGAATTTGAAATTGTGAAGTAGTGTGGTTATGTCGCTGATGGGATTACACGGCGCCAGTGTAATCCCATCAGCGGCCAAGACTCAGAGACTATAAAAACCAGCTCCCGGAAGAGAACAGTGCAGTCTCCTGCCCCCGCGCCTGGCTGTGCTCGGCGGGCCCCTTGGAGGGGAGCGGGTTGAGCTTTCCTCCCCGCCCCGACCAGGGCTCCGGCAGCCGAAGACCTCCAGGACCAGCCACCACCATGCTGAGACCACTCTCCGCACACATGAAGGTACTGGCAGAGGGACAAAGCCACGCGGGTTCCGGGGCCGAGATCTCCACGCCTACTCGGATCGGGACCGAGCATCCTCCACCCAGATCCTCCAAATTCCAGTAGGCGGGGGTCACACCCACCACCTGGCCCCCTGGCGCCGTGTAATCCCATCAGCGGCCAAGACTCAGAGACTATAAAAACCAGCTCCCGGAACCGCACGGCCACATTTGCGGCCGTGCGACATCTTATTACGACATCTCATTATCTCATTCCTACTTTGGACAAACTGGCAGGCTACCGAATGTAGCCTGCCCACACGGCAGAGTCTGGCAAACACCCTGTGTCATACCCAATATGCCAAATACCAGTAACAATAATGGGTCTCATTCTCCTAAAGAGCCTTGAATATAATCTCAGGGCTAGGATGAAGGAGACATTACTGGGGCCTGCTCGAGGCAATAGACGAATAACAGGATGATTTGTGATTTTGTGATTTGTGGTTATGTCTGATAATATTAGTTCTCAGTGTGTTTATATATATTTTTGAGTGAAAGCAAATAATTTAAGATACATGAGACACACAGAGAGAGAAAATAAAGGAAATTACACACACTAAATTGGCATATGGCTCAACTCCAGAATGCAGTATCTATACAGTTTTTGAGAAAACAAAAAAGTTATTTTTACCAAATAAGGTAATCATATATTATAGGTATAAAAATATATACACCATTAAAAGCAAACAAAAGAGGACAAAGAGATAGCACAGGGAGTAAAGGGCTTGCCTTGCATGCTAACAAGACTGGTTGGATCCTCAGAATCACATAATCGTGCCCCAAGCACTGCCAGGAGTACCTCAGGGGTTGGGGGGGGGGGGGGAGGAGTGGGAAACACACCACTAACCAAAAACCAACTAATAGTTCATGTTTCACAGATTTTAAAGTTTACTTTGTAGGGAATGGAGAGAGAGAACAGTGAGCAATGTGTTTGCCATGCATGCAGCTAACCCGGTTCGATCTCTGGCATCCCATGTGATCCCCAGAACACCACCAGGAGTAATTCCTGAGTACAGAGCCAGGGGTAACTCCTGATCACCATCAGGTGTGGTTCAAAAACCAAAGGGGGGAAAAAAAAGTTTTCTTTGTAAACAGAAATTCAGTATCTTCTTTCCTCCCAAAATTATTTTATTAAAAGCCAAAATTAAATGAGTTGATGTATTTTTTATAATAGAACTGTATCTCCAAAAGCACAAATAAACGTAAACTCCAAGTTTTAAATGGCAAAAACTTAAAATTTGGGTTTAGCTGTTGACTGAAACAAACCTTGGCATTTAGCCAAAAGCACACCCTAGGAAACACATATGGTCCCACAAGTCGCCCAGGAGTGATTCCTGAGCACAGCAGGGTGTGGCCCAAAAAACCCCCCACCCCACAACCCCCCCAAAAAACTTTTGTAGGATCCTAAAATCCCAAGGCGTAATCAAGATTATAAAATTATAACTTTACAAACTATATAAGAAATATGACAGGATTCATGTTTACTGACTCATAGTTCAAAAGGATCCTGTATCTCATTCATGGCCAGACTACAACCCTCATCTACAGAAGAGCCTCGCTTAGCAATGCACAGTATATAGTGAAGTTTTTTATTACATCACTGAGATACAACACAGTTACAAAGCTTTCATGTATAGTGGAGCTTTTTTCCCCAATTCATAGAAGTGGGGGAAACATAACCTGTTTTAAATGATTCTTTTGGCGTACTGGAGCTTTCCTGCAGGCTTTAGACTCTGCGTTGTTGGCTTCTGGGTCCCAGGCAGCCGCAATTCTGCTCCCAGCTCCCTGCTGGCAGCCCCCCGTTTGATGCTCGGGGCCAGGCTGGGCCAGCTGTCCAGGCCCACAGTCTCCAGGTCTGCATCAGCAACTCACAGGAGCACTGATCTTTTTAAAATATTGACAATACTACTAAGATTCAGCTCTAAATTCTTGAGTTTGCCACCACGTATCTTTTATCCAAAGAAACAGGTTCTGCTGACCAACCTATGAATGTATAGAGCAATTCCCTTGTAGATACGTACCTTCCCAACCTATCGAAAACTGGGGCACTTGGTTTGCTGACATTGTTAAAGAATAAGTCCAACTGAAATGTGTGCGGAGATGTCTCCCTGTGTATGAGATAAAGTTGAAATTTCAGTTTTTGCAACAAAATAATCAGTTCCAAATTAAAACAAACGACATGTATAAAATGAATGTGTAGTATCCATTAGATTTAAATAATAGTTGATTGAATTTTAATATTTCCTGTAATTGTATTCACACCGAACTCTCAAGTAGTCGACTATCCACTTTAAGAAATTATTGAAAACCAAATTTTAATCAACAAATTTTACCATCTATCATTAGTACAATGGTTCTACTGTGTTCTAAATTTCTGTTGTGTTTCAAAGTTTCAAGGCTAGTTTGGTTTTTTGGGGTTTTTTTTTTTTTTTTTTGTCCACACACTTCAAACTCTCCAGGGCCCACTCCTGGCTCTGTACAGATATTACTCCTGGCAGGGCTTGAGGACCAAATGGTTTGCTGCGGATCAAGCCCAGATGAGTTGCCTGCAAGGCAAGCACCCCTGCCTGCTGTACTATCACTCCAGCCCCTGTCTGAAGGTGTTTTAAAAGCAAGCGCTAATAGCTGTGACAAGTTTATTTCATTAGCAAAAAGAACCAAATTAATTTCAATGACACTTATTTCAAACTACTGCACGTAAGGAAAGGATTAAAATAATTTTAGCAACAGAGTCCTAAACTGTGGAGAGACTAAAGTAAAAAATGTATATAGCGACAATTCACGTAAATATTTTGACTGCAGTCTCAACCTGTATCTTGATTTTGGGGGAACCTGACCCACCTAAGCCACTTCTTATTTTCTGACCTGCAAGAGTGAGAGAGAGTACTGTTCATGATTTCAGGCTGCTAACCTTGCTATAACAATGGAAAGTAAAGGATATTTGATCTTTCTTAACTAAAAGCAGTACTACTAAATATCTGAATACATAAATATTACCTCCTTTTTCTCATTCTACACAATCTCCCTTATAGGAAAAGTAGGATAAAATTATAGGAAAACAAGAATTTTTAATTTCCTTAAGCACAGATAAAAGATAAAAAGTCGATGATTTCTCATTATTAATATTTTTACTGCATTGATTTTCTGTGCAATAACCCCAAAACCTTTGAAGATTTTAATGAATTTCTATAAATATACAATTACTTTTAACAATTATAAAGAAATGAAGCCTTAGCTTTGAATCTGTAGATAACTCACTATTAAATATCTGGTAACTTTTTCATATAATAGAAATTATGCTAGGTAGCACACACATAACAAATTATGAACTGTTCGATTCCTCCGCCCCTCTCGGAGAGCCCGGCAAGCTACCGAGAGTATTCGATATGCCAGACACAGTAACAACCAAGTCTCCAATGGAGACGTTACTGGGCCCGCTCGAGCAAATCGACGATCAACGGGAGGGCCTTTACCTTACCTTTACTATTAAGATTAACACCAATGCTATAAACTAAAAATTCATTAAGGTTTATTATATATTAATATTTCCAAACCTAAAGTTAGCTTCTATTTCCAATTCATGTCATGCAAACAAATAACTACTCTTGTCACGACAAAGATCAAACCCCTATTAAATGCCAGTTGTTACAGTTATCAACAAGTTCCAAGCTCAGAGACTATTATCTACATCCTATTTATTTCTCACAGAGCTTAAGAAAGAGAAAGCACCAGATAATTATTTGCTATTTTTTTTTAATTTTTATTAGTGAAACACCATGAGGTACAGTTGTAGACTTAAAAATATGGAACGCTTCACGAATTTGCATGCCATCCTTGCACAGGGCCTTGCATTAATCTCCTCTGTATCGTTCCAAGTTTAGTACATGTGCTGCCGAAGCGAGCACTATTTGCTAATTTTTAGATGCCAGAGATTAAACCCAGGTCTTCTGCATGCAAGACAGTGTTCTACACTAAGATAACCATAAATGTATGAAAAGACACATAATCAGGCTACAACTCCAAACAAGTCATCAAACTTACTATAAAATAGTATTAATAAGAAATGTAATAGGGGCGATAGAAAGAGTCAAGAAGGTAAGGAGCTTGTCCTTCAATCCCAGCATCACATAGAGTTCCTTGAGCACTACCTGGGATCACTCCTGAGCATGAAAGAGCAATAATCCATGCACTGCTGGATGCCAAGTGTGGCCCCACCTCCCCCCGCTCCCAACCCCCCCCAACCATATATTTTTGCTAGAGCACTAGTACAGCGGGTAGGGTGCTTGCCTTGCAGCTGACACAAGGTCCAATCCCCACCATCATATATGGTCCCCCCAAATCCTACCAAAAGTGATCCCTGGGAATAGAGCCAGGAATAAGCCCTGAGAACAGCCCGAAAATAAACAGTTTCACTTGCAAATCATCACCTCAAATTTATGTTTAAAAGTATTTCTCCAGGGGCCAGAGAACTAGCACAGTGGTCAGAGTATCTGCCTCGCACAGGGCCGATAGGTTCAATAGGGCCAATATGGCCTGCTCCCAAATGCCGGGAACAATTTCTGAGTGCAGAGCCAGGAGTAACCCCCAACTATCACCGGCTCACAAACAAGAACAGAAACTCTACAATAATACAGAATCAAGTATTTTTCAGAAGCAAGCCGACTCACCCATAGGCTCTGTTGTCGGGCAGGTTGCTGTGCGCCTTCACTCCTGGAGGTATCACGCGGACTTCATTGATATAAACCACACATGGAAAACGAACCACATCGATGTGCGAACTTTGCTTTAAAAAGAGAAGAGAACACACCATAAATACAACACAATTTATTAAAATCATACACATTTCTTTTAGAATCATCCAAAGTGTTCACGTACAATTTACAATGTTATCTCAATCATTCTTTTGAAATAGTTGATGGTGGGCTGAAGAGGCACAGGGGTCTGAGCACACGCTCCCCAGGTGGGAGGCCCAGGCACACTTGGTGGTACTGCTGGGAGCCGCCAACACTCCCACCACCCAATTCAAAAGGCTAATGATAGAACGCACCCAGTCAGACTTCTTCTTTATGTAACAGCATTTCTTAATGCAGATTTCTTCCCAAATTACGTTTTGCTTAAACCAAAAAAAATTCATAGTCCTTTATAGAAGCCTCTCAAGTTGACTTATTGGATAGTTATAAAGCTAACATGATACAAAATCTCTGATTATTTAAACATTCTCAACTTCTATGATTATATAACTGTAACACATCTACACACATATAAACATTCACACTAAAGATTCTGACTGGCATTCTATCAGTTCGGATCTGATTGAGTAGTCCAATGATTTCAAGGCATATTTTTTTGCCCGTAAAGGGTCACTAACCCAGTGGTGCTAGAGGTGAGCTGAGGGGGACCACCCTGCAGTGCTGGGGCTAGGGACAGGACCTGCACTGTTGGGGGCTGAATTCAGGACCTCATACATGCTAGCCATCAAGGGCCAGATCTCCAGCACTCTCTGAATCTCTGAATTAGAAAGAAGACATGGGGGTGAGGGTGCGGGCGTGTCTATGCTTAATTTACTAAACTCCCACCTTAAATTTAAGAAAAAATGCAAACTAAGAACTTATCATAGGGATCAGAGAGATAGGACAAGGGTGAAGTTCCTGTCTGGCATGCAGCTGACCCTGGTTCCCCAAAACCACAGAGTCTCCAAGAGTATCCCCAGGAATGATATCTGAGTAGAGTGAGAAGTAAACCCTGAGCACAGCAGGGTGCGGCCCAAATCATCCCCGCCAAAAAGAATGTATCAGCATATAAAAATAAGGTAAATAGCATTAGGTATACATTTATATGAATCATTTGACACAAGATTAAAGAAACATAGCTTTTACAAACAAAAATTTAAAAAGGTTTTCCCCCTTACTTCCCCCAAAATTATTAGACCATACCCAGCAGTGCTCAAGTTCACTCGTGGCAGTGTATAAGGACCAGATGGGGTGCTGAGGATCAAAGCTGGGTCAGCCAAGTGCGAGACAAGCCACTTACCAGCTGTATGACAGCGCCAGCCCTTCCCACATTGTTTTACATGAAGTTTTCCTAGTAGTTCAACCAACCATCATTACCTAGTGGTCAAAGTTATAATTAAAAGTGGTTCATGTTACTTGCATCTGAAAGATGAGTCTTGAATCTGTCAATGTTAAGAATATGATGCTATCAAAAACCCCTGAAATTCATATGGAACAATAAGCCCCCACGAATAGCTGAAGCAATTCTTGGGGGGAAAAAATAAGAGGAATCAACCTCCCTAACTTCAAACTCTATTAAAGAGCAGTAATAATTAAAACAGCATGGTACTGGAACAAAGGCAGAGCTGCAGACCAATGGAACAGGGCTGAATATACTGACATCTCCCCCCAAACATACGGTCATCTGATCTTTGATAAGGGAGCAAGAAATGTGAAGTGGAGCAAGGAAAGTCTCTTTAACAAATCGTGCCGGCAAAACTGGACAGCTACATGCAAAAAAATGGGCTCAGATCTCTACCTAACACCATGTGTAAAAGTAAGATCAAAATGGATTAAAGACCAGAAGCTATAAAATACATTGAAGACAAAGTTAGCAAAACTCTCCTTGACATTGAAGCGAATGGTATCTTCAAACATGTCACACCACTGGCCAAGCAAGTGAAAACAGAGATAGACAAATGGGACTATCTTAAACTAAGAAGCTTCTGCACCTCCAAAGAAACTGTGACCAAAATACAAAGACAGTCCACAGAATGGGAAAGGATATTAGCCCAATACCCATCCGACAAGGGGTTGATATCAAGGATATAGGATATACAAAGCACTGGTTGAACTCCACAAGAAGAAAACATCCTACCCCATCAAAAAATGGGGTGATGAAATGAATAGAAACATTCTCAAAGAAGAAATTCCAATGGCAAAAAGGCACATGAGAAAATGCTCTAAATCACTAATCATCAGGGAGATGCAGATCAAAACAACAATGAGACTCGCACCACAGAGACTGGTTCACATCCAAAAGGACAAAAGCACCGGTATTGGCATGGATGTGGCGAGAAAGGGACCCTCCACTGCTGGTGGGAATGCCGACTGGTTCAGCCCTTTTGGAAAACAGTATGGACTATTCTCAAAAAATTAGCAATTGAGTACCCATTTGACCCAGCAATACCACGCCTGGGAATATATCCCGGAGAGGCAAAAAAGTATAGTCGAAGTGACATCTGCACTCGTTTGTTCACTGCGGCACCCTTTACAATAGTCAGAATCTGGAAAAAACTTGAGTGCCCAAGAACAGATGACTGGTTAAAGAAACTTTGGTACATCTACACAATGGAGTACTATGCAGCTGTTAGAAAAGATGAAGTCATGAAATTTACAGACAAGTGGTTCTACACAGAAGTATCATGCTAAGTGAAATGAGCCAGAAAGAGAGGGACAGTCATAGAAAGCCTACACTCATCTGGGGAATATAAAGTAACAGAATGGGAGTCGAACACCCAAGAATAATTGAGGTAAGTACCAGGGGTCTGCTCCAGGGCTTGGAAGCCGGCAGCACATGCTGGGGAAAAAAGCAGCTCAGATAGAGAAGGGAACACCAAGTAAAGGATGTTTGGAGGACTCGCTCAGAATGCGAGATGCGTGCTGAAAGTAGACTACAGACCGAACACGATGGCCACTCAAAACCTCTATTGCAAACTACAACACCCTAAAGGAAAGAGTGAGCCAAAGGAAATGCCCTGCCACAGAGGCTGGGTAGGGTGGTGGGGATCAGGTTGGGGGGGGGGGGGGAGGGCTACTGGGAGCATGGTGGTGGAGAATGGGCACTGGTGGAGGGATGGGTACTCAGTCACTGTATAACTGAAACCCAAGCACAAAAGTTTGTAAGTCTACAACTGTATCTCATGGTGTTTCTCTAATAAAAGGAAAAAAAAAAGTTGGTCAATGATTTTTATACTCTATAGAATAAAGTCGGCTGGGCAAAGATGAGAGTACACATTCCAACAGAAAAAAAAAAGTGGAGAAGGGATGATTAATGTTTAGGTATGATCACCTGGGAGCTGTGATTCTTTAAGCTATGGTATGGAACTGGTTTTTTTTTCCAGCCGATTAGACATTAACCCCATGCCCTAGTTCTTTTTTTTTTCCCCATTCAAAAATTGCTTTTGTTTGCTATGAGTATCCTTATTCAAAAGTTAGGATTATAAAGTTTTTCAAAGTATTTCGTATTCTTTCTAATGCTTTCTTTAACTCCCATAGGCCAGAATTTTGTGTAACATAATCTTAAACATTGTTGGGAGAGAACACTGGCTGAGAAGAGTTGAGTTCTTGCATATCTTCTATTTCTTTCTTTCACAGGCAATCATTTCTCACTAAAACTGAACAATTACCAGGTTTGTCTATGGCATGAAACTTCAGTGGGGATTGCAGAAAAAAAGAACATTTTCAGAAATGTATGCATTCTCCAAATAGAATTTGGTGCTAGAATATGGTCGCTGGTATGCAGCGATGTTTTATCACAAAGAGTTGAAACATCCTATCTAGTGGCCAGCGAGATTAATCAAAGGGCTGAAGGACATGCTTTGCACATGGGAGCCCTGGGTTTTATTTCTTTTGCTGTATGGTCCCCTGAACATGAAGCAGAGCCAAGAGTAGTCCCAGAGCACTGCTGGGTATGACCCGCATTTCCACAAAACCATGCCCCCACGCCTTTAAAACACAACTGACAGATTGTCACCTTAAAATTTGTTTAGTCGATTTTTTGGTCATAGCGATAGCATAGCGGGTAGGGCGTTTGCCTTGCACGCGGCCAAGGAAGGTTCGATTCCTCCACCCCTCTCAGAGATACCGGCAAGCTACCAAGAGTATATTGTCCGCACAGCAAAGCCTGGCAAGGCACCCGTTACGTATTCCATATGCCAAAAACAGTAACAAGAAGTCTCACAATGGAGACGTTACTGGTACCTGCTTGAGGAAATCGATGAACAAAGGGAGGACAATGCAGTGCTATAAAGATTTGCTGTCATTCTCCCCCCACCCAAAAAAGCATTTCCCATGTGAGTGATGATAAGAAACTGACTAGGGGTAGGGGAGGGAGGGAGGGTTACCCAAAACAGCAAACCTGTGGACACTGACCACAGAATTCAGTTTGCCGGAGAAAAGGTGGGAGGAGACAATTAGAAGATGATGTTTTGGGGGCTGGAGTGATAGCACAGCGGGTAGGGTGTTTGCCTTACACGCAGTCAACCCGGGTTCAAATCCTAGCATCCCATAAGATCCCCGAACACCTCCAGGAGTAATTCCTGAGTATCTCCAGGTATGACCCAAAACGCCAAAAAAAAAAAAAAAAGATGATGTTTTAAGTAAGCTCAACATAGTTGGTAGGAACAATCCCAAACACTGTTCTTGTATCCCCTAGGCCAAACCCACTGGTCTTATTAACAAATCTCTTCTTTCTACACCAAATTTTACAGCCTGAACATATCATGTGCCTCCTCATTATACATGTGAATTCACGTTCACACTTCTTGGCACCAGGATCCTTTAAATACCCATTTTCTATGGAAAATTTCCTGAGTCAGGTCAAATCCAGATACATACCCCTTTCTCTGGGAAATCCAAACCCTTTGTATCAAATTAAGTAAAAACTGTGTTTAATTGTCCCAAGTATTGTTTTAAATAGAAGTACCAGATCTACGTTTACTGGTAAGTTTACAGTGTCACATATATCCACTGAAGAATCTTAATACTTAATAAATGTTCACAGAAACTACGATTTCAGAATTTAGAAATTTACAATGAAGGATGAACTTAAATTATCTAAAGTAAATGAACTGATACAGCACAAGTTGAAAACAAAAAATAATGAGAAGCAACAAAAACAGGCAGCCACAAACTCAACAGACTTGCCAGATCTGAGATCTCTGAATCACATTGCTATGCAAAAAAAAAAAAAAAAAAACCTCTGGGGGCTGTAGTGATAGTATAGTTGGCAAGACACTTGGCTTGCACACACTGACCTGGGTCCCATTCTTTGATTTCTTTTCTTTTTTTTTTTTTTGAAAGCTCTTTATTAGGGGCATTGTAGCACTGTCCACCAGCTGTTCGATTTGCTTGAGCGGGTCCAGTAACATCTCCATTGTGAGACTTGTTGTTATTGTGTTTGGCATTTCGAATACGTCATGGGGAGCTTGCCAGGCTTTGTCGTGCTGGGAATCAAACTCGGGTTGGCAATGAGCAAGGCAAATGTCCTACCCGCTGTTCTATCGCTCCAGCCCCCCAAAAATCTTTTGTATCTCATACTACGTTTAGAACAACCTGGTCCAAAATACTTGCTAGTTTAGGAGTGGAAGCCAAGGACAGTGGTGGAGTACTCCAAGCACTTGGATAGTGAAGGTGCAGTAATTTTGTGCATAGAAACTGCAAACGGTAACACTAGTGTAGCCATGTTGACATAAGTTATAATAGTTATTTTTTTGGAAAAAGTTTAAAAATAAGGAATTCTTTTGAAAAGTCTATTCGAGACGTACTCGATATGCCAAATACAGTAACAACAAGTCTCATTATGGAGACGTTACTGGGCCCACTCGAGCAAATCGATGAACAACGGGAGGACCGTGACCGGATTGTGACCGGATTTCTCATTTAATATATACAGATATACAGCTCATAAGGCAAGAAAGAAATCACAAAACTGCATAACGGTATTGATCACTGTCACTGTCCTCCCGTTGTTCATCCATTTGCTCAAGCGTGCCCAGTAACGTCTATTTTGAGACTTGTTGTTACTGTGTTTGGCACATCGAATACATTATGGGTAGCATGCCAGGCTTTGTCATGGGGGCGAGATACTCAGTAGCCTGCCGAGCTCTCCGAGAAGGGCGGAAGAATCAAACCAGGCTCGGCCGGTCTGGCTGCGCACAAGGCAAACGCCCTACAGCTGTGCTATTGCTCCAGCCCAACGGTATGGATACTATAGTTATATATGCTTAAGCATAAGTAAATTTACCAGAGAATTACAAAAATAAGAAAAACTAAAAATGATATAAGAAAGGTCGGATTTCAAGTCTTAGCTTTTTTCAATTTTTTGGTGTAAGTGAATTTTATTTTTCAGTAACCAGTTATATTTCTCTTTAAAAAAAAATAAGTAAATGGAGCTGGAGATAGTTTAACATACTGAGCACAAACTTTGCATGCTGGAGGCCAGGGTTTTATCCCTAGCATTACATGGTCCCCTGCGTAGCACTGGGAGTGATGACTCCACCCCCATCCCCCGCCAGGTTTGGCCCAAAACAAAGTCCACAGAGAGACAATTTCAAGAGATAGATCACATGCTTAACACATGTTCATTCCCAAAAAACACATGGCTACTGGCTGAGGTACTAAGCATGGCCCCTATGAACTACCAGTCTGGGTTGAGCGTCTGCCAGGAGTGGTTCCAGGCCTGGGTACTGCTGGATGAGACCCCAATTTTTAAAAATGGACATAAGGAACCAGAGGCAGTGAAACAACAGGTAAGGTGAGCCTTGCATGTGGCTGACCAGGGTTCAATACCCGGCACATATGAGAGACTAATTCCCCTGAGCCCCCCAGTGAACCCTGAGCTAGGAGTAAGGCTGAGCATCACTGGGTGGTCAAAAGCCAAAAGGAAAATGGGAAGGGTGGGGTGGGGCGGGGCATAGAGGTCAGGGAAATAATTCAGTAGTAAGACTACATGTTTTACATTCGAGGCCCCAGATTCAATCTTCGGCATTCTATGCATACAGAGGTGTACACACACAGCACAAGCAACGAGCACAATTTTAAATCTCTTAGTGTGACTTAAAACCAGTTTATTCTTGGGCAACTTGAATAAATGTCTATCTTCTCTCTAGACTACAAATCTCTTTGAAAGTCAAGGCAACAGGTTTTACTTTTTTCGTTTTGTTAGTGGTATCGATCCCGAGCGGATTATGCAGCACCTTTGGGTGTATTTTTCATAGATGTCAAGAGTCCCTATAGTTCAAGCCTACCTGGTGTACCACTAAACACATCAAAATCTATCCAGCCCCCATTAAAACTGCTTCTGCACTTTCCATGACTACCAACAGGCCACTGGTATACTACAACATGAGGATCAACCATCACGTGTGTCCTCCTTTCCTATTTCTGCAGACTATAGATTTGTTCTGATTCAACCCATCTCCATTATGTGTTAGAAAACCTCCATTGTAAGTCGTAGAAACCTGAGCTGGAACTACAGCCAGAAAGAATGAAAAACGAACAGAGCTAATACACATGAAATGAGACCATAAATTAATCTACCAAAAGATAACACTACTGTTAACCAACTTCTTTATTATAACCCCCAGCCCTCGGCTCTGTAATTCTGCTGGGATGCCTGGGGTTCCGTAGCTGCTTGGCTGTGGTGTGCGTGTACATAGTCCCAGTCATTCCTGGGGGTGGCCCGCCACGCTTGCAAGCATGCACTGCTCCCCTGCAGTCACACTCTGGTGGGGGTGCTCATGCGGATTCTGGTTGGACTGCTCCTACTGGCACGCCTCGGTTGTGGTTGACTCCTGGTCATGGTGCTCCGACATCCTCCTAACTGCAGAACTTGCAGGGATTGCTCACTTGAGCTCTCCATCTGTCTGCAGGCCTTTGAAAGTTCGCAGCAGCATTGGCATTGCGGGGTGGGGGGTGTGGATGACGGGAAAGATGGAGTGGGGGGGACGGACACCGAGAGCAGAACTGCCAGGACCTCAGCGAGCCACCAAGCTAGTGCCAGGTGCCAAACTCGGTGCCCTCACCCCTTGCAAGGCAGGTCTTTTTTTTTTTTTTCTTTTTCGGTCACACCTGGTGATGCACAGGGCTTCCTCCTGGCTCTGCACTCAGGAATCACCCCTGGCGGTGCTCATGGGATGCTGGGAATCGAACCGGGGTCGGCCGTGTGCAAGGCAAACGCCCTACCCGCTGTGCAACTGCTCCAGCCTCGGGTCCCTTTATCCTTAAGGAGGACCGTCCTGCCCCCAGCTGGGCCTTCGACCAGCCCTACAACCCACTCCTGAAAATAAATAATAAGCAGACTCGACTGTCAAACGTCTCTTATCCTGCCCAGCAGAGCTTCAAAGCAAGGAAGCAACCTGCAGTCACGGGTCCTGGGAAGGCAGAATCCACGAAATCAGCAAGAAGTTCACAAAGGGGGGGAGGGGAGGGAGTGCACCTCCCGGGTGGGGGTGAAATGCACGTCCTGGGTGGGGAGGGCAGGGGAAATGCACCTCCTGGGTTGGGGGAGGGAGAGCAGGGGAAATGCACATCCTGGGTGGAGGGGGGAAGGGCAGAGGGAATACACGTCCCGGGTGGCGGGGTGGGGGGGAGACAGGCAGGGGAAATGCACGTCCTGGGTCTTCCTGCGGGTTTCCACTTTCCCTGCGGGCTGGCCGACGTCGTAACCCAGGGCAACCTCCTACGCTCCCAGGACGCCCAGCAGGGCCGGGCTGACGTTCGGGCGAGGAGGGGGCGCGGGGGGGGGGGGGCGGGAGGTTCAGAGTCTCCAGAGCATCCCTGCTCCCCCTCCTCCACCACCACCCCCCGCGGCCCGCGAGGGCACGAGAGAAAACCCTGGAGCTTTCTGGAGACGAGCCGGAGCCGGGGAGGGGGAAGGAAGGGGCGGCATCGCGTCCTCCTCCCTCGGTCCGCAGTCGCCGGGGCCCCCCAGGCCCAGGCCCGAGCCCGAGCGCCGTCGCGGGGCGCCGAGGCCGCACGACGCCCCCGGCTAGAGCCCGGCGCGACCCCCGACCCCGCGGGACCAGCGAGGCCGGGCGGGGGGTGACGGGGGAGGCGGCCCGGGGCTGGCGCCGAGCAGGGCGCCGGCCGGGCCCGGCGCGTCCCCGGGAGGGTCCCCCCAGGCCGAGGCGGCGGGGCACGACTCGACCTCGAAGCCTTACCTCAGCGGTCGGGTGTTTAAAAGTGTCTAAAAATAGCAGCTCCATCGCCGAGTCCACCGCCATGTTCGCCGCTGGCGGCGGGGGGCGGGAGGGGAGCCCGACGACGACTTCCGGGGCAGCCGTCCCGGCCGGCGACTCCCGAGCCCCGGCCCAACGGCACTTCCGGCGGCCAGCGCGCACGCGCCGCCGGCGCCGACCAATCCGGACGCGTCGAGCGGCCCGAAACCCGCCGGCTCCGCCCACTCCAGCGCGGCGGAAGCCGCCGCGGGGCGCCGAAAGGGGGCGGGGGCAGGCCTCGGGAGGATTACGGCAGCCGCTGGGGCCCAAAACTCGCCCGTCTCGCCGCGTTTGCGGAGGTGGAAGGAGAGAGAGCAGAGCGTTGCCAAGGGGGCTACCCCGCCCGCCCCAGGGAAACCTGGGCCAGCAGCCTTGCCAGGGACAGTTGGGAAAGAGACAGTGAGATTTTAAAAGAAACACTATTTAAGAGAAAATAAATAAATAAATGTCTCCAAAGGAGCTGTTTTGTTTTCTCTTTGGCAATATAGATGAATACCTAAACCACTCGTTTTTTGTAAGGATGAACAGAAATAACATTCAAGTGATCTTTTGTGGAATATAAAATGTCATAATATGAGGCTGACACCCAAGGACAGTAGACACAAGGGCCAGGAGGATTGCTCCATGGTTGGCAGCCTGCCTCATGAGCTGGGGGAGAAGGCAGCTGGGATAGAGACTGGGTCACAGGGGTCACTAAGTCAATGAGGGTTGGAGGAATCACTCCCGATGGGAGATGTGTGCTGGAAGTCGATCAAGGATCAAATGTGATGGCCTCCCAGGGTCTGTATTGCAAACCATAATGCCCAAAAGTAGAGAGAAAGACGGAAATCGTCTGCCGTAGAGGCAGGGGTAGGGTTGGGATAAGGCGGAGGGACACTGGGAACGTTGGTGGTGGAAAATGTGCACTGGTGGAAGGATGGGTGTTCAATCAGTGTGTGGCTGAAACTCAAACATAAAAACTTTGTAAGTGTAGCTCACGGTGATTCAATAAAAAATAAATAAATAAATAAATAAGATTAGAGTGATTAGCAGAATGCCCAAAACAGTAAAAATATGAAAAGTCAATCTTCCTGTTGATGATCACTGGACCAATTGTGACAACTGCTTTGACAACAGGCCAGAATATTTAGTAATAGATTGATTCCTCCTATTTCTAGAAAAATTCATTTGTGTCCAAAAATACAGAGATACAAGACTGGTTCAAAAGTACATAGAGATACAAGACTGGTTCATGGCAAACCTTAATAACTCTCATTTACAAAAAAAAAAAAAAAAGAAAATTTAACTTATCTTTAACAGAAACATGGTAGTAAAAGAGGTTGTTTGTCCTGTCCATTCTTGGGAGGGGAGCAGGGTGCGGGCACCCTCTTTTCCTGGATGAGAATGTGTATGAGACTTTGACTGATAGTGACCAAACCTTGGTCACTTGACCCTCTCAGCCCTCTGACCCTCAGACAGTGGCACCATCACTACCTTAAATGCTTCTTTGTGACTGTGTGTGCCTGATCCCGTGCACTGTCCCAAGATTTGGATCCCTGAAAACATGAATACTTTCCTATTTTGACTCCCTTAAAATGTGCAGTGGGGAAACAGGCAGCTGAGATTTTGGGAGGTAAATTTTAAAACATTGATGGAGCATCTCTGATGTACAATACTGTAATGATGGTTTCCCAAGTCCATGATCCCAACACCGAACCCCTCCCCAGTGTCCCCACCTCCCTCCCTCAAGGACCCCAACTCCTCTCCCTTCCAAGCTCTCCCCCACTCCCCCCCAAACTCAGCTAAGTGGGTGAATCCATTCTTGGCTGGTAGGCAGATGAGATTTGAAGCCTAGGAGCCTAGTGACATTCCTTTAGAAAGAATTTCAAATTTCTCCCCAAATCAGCCCCTGGGGATCTTTTCATCTGATTCTTTGGTTAGGCTTGGGTGACAAATGGCTGGAAACTCCCTAGAGTGCACTAGTGCACAGATTAATCAATAGAGAAAATTAAAAAATTAAATAGTAGTTCTATTTTGCTCAACAGGGTAGAGGGTTTCACATTTTATTAATAGCACTGTCTGTAGCACTGTCCTCCCATTGTTCATCTATTTGCTCAAGCAGGCACCAGTAACATCTCCATTGTGAGACTTGTTGTTACTGTTTTTGGCATATTGAATATGTCACAGGTAGCTTGCCAGTCTGTGAAGTGCGGGCGGGATGCTCTCCGTAGCTTGCCGGACCCTCTGAGAGGGACAGAGGAATCGAACCCAGGTTGGCTGCATGCAAATGCACAGCGGGTAGGGCATTTGCCTTGCACGTGGCCGACCCGGGTTCAATTCCCAGCATCCCATGTGGTCCCCTGAGCACCGCCAGAAGTAATTCCTGAGTGCATGAGCCAGGTGTGACCCCTGTTCAATGCTAGGTGTGACCCCAAAAAAGCAAAAAGCACATTTTATTAATAGTTACAGAAGAGCAGTAGTAGACACATTTCATTGACTTGGAGTCACTGGGGTTTTTGGAGGGGAGAACAAACCCAACGGTACTCAGGGTTTACTCTTGGCTCTGTACTCAGGTATCACTCCTGGCAGGACTTGGGGACCGTATGCGGTATTGGGGATCAAACCCTGGATCATTCAAATCCAAGGCAAATGTCCTATGTACTGTACTATGGCTTTGGCCCCTAGCGTTAGTAGTTTTTAAAGTATATCAATATTACTCCTCCCCCCCTCAATTCCAAATGACACACAGACATAACTTCATAAAAGCAACCACAAGGCATTTGATGAAGGTACAGACCGAGAAACCTACAGTCTTGGCGTGGATGTTTCTGGTTTGTTTATGTGGAAGAGCATGAAATTCTAAGCCAGGATTGTGAGTGGGTATTTTATTACCCACACCGCAGAGCATGGCAAGATATCCATTGTGTATTCAATATGCCAAAACCAGTAATTACAATGGGTCTCATTCCCCTGACCCTGAAGGCTTCACCAATATGGCAGCATTGAGAAGGATGAGAAAGGAAAGGTCAATAAAATCTCAAGGCTGCCACAACAAAGGAACACAAAAATGATCATCTGTACTTTCAATGCACGTACGCTAGCATCAGTTGCATCCATCGAGGACCTGATGGTACAAGTGCGAAAGATCAAGCACGACATCATTGGTCTGACCGAGACAAGAAGGCACGAATCTCACCATGCCATTTTCGACACTGGAGAAGAATTTTTCCTCAGAACATGTGATAAAAGAGGTGTCGGTGGCGTCGGTGTCCTTGTCAACACAAACTTGGCCATGAGCATTGATTCATTCGAATGCCTAACAACCCAAACCATATGTTTACATTTGAATAGATGTGGCTCACTGCCAGCAGTTTCTATCTTCGTTGTCTATGCACCAACATCTAATTATGATGAAAGAGAAATTGAGAAGTTGTACATGGAGCTGGAGAAGTTCTATAAAGAAGACCACACCTTCTATAAGATCATCGTGGGTGATTTTAATGCCAAGATAGGAACAAAAAGATCAGCTGAAGAACTTCACATCGGGACCTATGGCCTAGAATGGAATGAACAGGGTGAGAGACTGTCTGAGTTCATCATGTCGACCAAGACCATCCATGGTAACTCACAGATCCAGAAGGTCGAATCTAAACGTTGGACATGGGAGTCTCCTGGTGGACGATTCCACAACAAAATAGACAACATCATATTCAATCGACGGTTTTGCCTGACCAATGTCGTTGTTGTCCCAAAATTCCGAACGGGATCGGACCACCGTCTCCTTCGTGCAAAATTCTACTTCACAGAGTGGGGAGAAAGGGCTGCAAAGTTTAAAAAGAGAACTCCCAGAACGACCACCAACTGGGAGCTCTTTGGCACTATTGCGGCAACATGGGAAGATGCCATCATTGACAACATTGATGAGGAATACGATTGACTGGTTCAGCACCTCCATGATTGTGCGAGGAACGCCAAGAGAGAGATAGCCACAAAAAAACACCTGTCTTCGAAAACTCTTGAGCTTATTCGCCAACGTGGTTTGGCGCATGCCTCAGGCAACTGCAAGCGAATGTCCGAGCTCACAAAGCAGTGCAGAGATGCGATCAAGGAAGAACTCAAAAAGAGAAGAGCAGAAGTGCTGGTAGATGCGGCAGAAACTGGGAAAAGTATTCGTAACACCAGCCTGTCCTTCGCCAACTACAAGACCAAGATGACTGCTCTCCGACATCCTGATGGATCTATCACATCTTCCAGAACGGCAATGGAGAAGATTATCCATGACTTCTACTCAAATCTCTTTGATAGCCATGTCCACTTGCCGACATACCAAATTCCACAGGATGGACATGTCGTTCTCAATGTTCTCCCTTCCGAAATCCAACACACCATTTCGTCAGTAAAGAAATGAACAGCACCCGGCCCAGACAAGGTCAGACCTAAACACCTGAAGAACCTGCCGTCAGTACTCATCAATCACTGGCTCGGCTCTTCACACACTACCTGTCTGAATGCAAGGTTCCGTCCCAATGGAAAACCAGCAGGACTATTTTACTGTACAAGAAGGGAGACATCCATGACATTGGCAACTATCGCCCAATCTGCCTATTGTCTGTCATCTACAAGTTGTTCACTCGAGTCATCCTAAATAGGATTGGCAGAACACTAGATGAAGGACAACCATGCGAGCAAGCCGGGTTCCACAAAGGATTCAGCACCATCGACCATATCCACACGATAACCAAGCTCATTGAGGTTTCTCGGGAGTTCAAGATGCCATTCTGTCTAACATTCATTGATTTAAAGAGGGCCTTTGATTCTGTTCAGATGGAAGAGGTCATCGAAGCCCTAGCCAATCAGGGCATTCAAACTCAATACATCAAGATCCTCCGTGAGCTGTATTATGGATTCACTACCAGGATCTCACCATTCTACAAAGAAGTAATCATTGATGTCAAGAGAGGGGTTCGACAGGGTGATACCCCAAAAAGTACGGTGATACCATTTCACTGAAACTCTTCAGTGCCACCCTCAAGACCATCATGCGATGACTGGAATGGGAAGGAATGGGAGTGAAGATAGATGGTCGGCAACTACACCA